CAGCCGCTATAGGAAGTCTTACTGAGCTACGCGTACTAGATATCGGATTTAATCTTTTAAACAAACTACCTGCTGAAGCATTTTTGAATAATCCAGCTATTACATTACTGGCTTTAGATGGAAATCCTTTACCTACCGTACCAGAGAAAGCTTTCACTCATTTAAATCAATCGCTTCGAGGTTTAAGTTTGGGAGGAAGATTTTTGAATTGCGACTGTCGCCTGCGCTGGATTATAGAGTGGATAAGAAACGGCGAGCTACAAGTAACATCTAGAGAAAGGAATCCACAGTTCTGCGGAAGTCCTTCGAATTTCAGAGAAAGAGGATTTTACAGTTTCGAGCCAAACGAGCTTGTCTGTGATTATGAACCAACAGAAATTTCATACAAATTAACTACAACTACTAAGCCTTTAAATGAGCGAAAAACCACCCAATTGACGACTATTCGGTCATCTACCTCTACGACTACTATTCCAACTACCACGCCGACAACCAGCACAACGACCGAACGACCTCTACCAACAACTACGACAGCACCAACGACTCATGAAATGGCTTATGAACCAGATACACCTGTAAAATCCACAACAACACAACACAGCACCATTCGGCCAAATCGGGTTCCGAATATACGCACTGCGTCTCCAGCATGGCGGCATCCGTCCAACCAAAATCCACCGCTTGTAATGAACTTCTCACAACAGAAAACTAAAGTTGACGACTCCAACGAAGTAATCGTAAAGAATGCCTACAGACAAGATAATTCTGTAATTATTCAATGGGATTCTGATGTTGCTAATATTCTCGGTTTTCGAGTTGTTTATAGATTATTTGGTGATAAGAGTTTTAAACAAGGGCCGCCGTTGGAAGCAAGCGAACGAGAATTTAAGATAAAAAATGTCCCGTCTCAGGTACGTATCAATTTTATTAATTAACTTAATGATTAAATAGAGTTATTACCAAAAAATAATACTATTACTGTAAATGTTTAGGGTGCCTCTTTCATACACATTTACATTTTTATATTCAATCATCATTAAAATGACATGAGCTTGTTCAATAATTCAATCACTCCAATATTAAATGTTTACTTAATAATACATTTTTAATTAATTTTATTTGTTCATATTGCTACAAAAACTGTTTTTTTAAGTTAGACAATTATCTTCAACTAATTTCTATTGTGGTCACGACCCTCAGTAATGAGGAAACGACAAAGAAGAAGAAGAAGAAGTTTCTATTGTTAGTTAACATAAAAAAAACTGTGTTAATGAGCTTAAAATACATTGTTAACTTTATGAATAAATCTAGTAAGTCCAAATTCGAGTTTATAGTAGCAATTCAGAGGTTCCGTTAATAAACTGTTTGGTTCATCTTAAGACCTTGATGGTATCATATGAGCATATTGTGACAGAAGACACTTTTTGTGACACGATTCCAAATATTTGCAATTCATATACACTAATAGTGTCAACGTAACGTTGTAAAAGTAGTTCCTTTTTGTTGTTGTTTCATTCTTTGAGCTACATTTTTTTGTTTATTTCTCGTAGGAATGCATCGTCGTCTGCGTGATCTCTTTAGAGGAGGTGCACGTCAGCCCTGAAACGGTCCCTTACGCTCAATGTCGCGAAGTACGCACCGTTTCCGCTGCCGCCTCCAACATGGACAAGATTACGATAGCTGCTAGCGCTGCTATTTGTGGTACCATCGTAGTCGCCGTATTGATATTCGCCGCTGCGTCACGTAGAAGATCACGCACAGTACATCGCTTGCACGCTCAGATACCTGAAAAACTGCCCAACGCCTGTTGTGGTGGCATCACCGGAACACCGAGTCCCAGTGGACCTCTATCTTCATTAGCTACGCTCGGCGCATTTGGAAAGCAGCGTGAGTGGGATCAAGTGTCAGCCTATAGCGCACGTTCGATCCCTCGTGCACGCACTTATACCGAACCGGCCCCCCCAGATCCCTTACCCGGTCGACCAGGCCGAACACGCTCTCTAGCCGAAGGCCAATCCCAACACAGCTACTCTCACTCTGGCAGATACGGACCGCCGGGTTATCCCGGCAGCCTACTAGGATCTAGAGCTGGTAAGTTACTTAACGCAGCAGTGCAAAATGTGATCTTCTAATAATTATAAATTATTTTTGGAAATCATCAATATTTTAACTGGTTATGTGCAATGTTGCTTTAAGTTTTTGGATTCATAATCGTATCTTCTTGATATTTAATGGTTTTAATGCTATCGGGCTATTAATCAGAATATACGGATCTGCGACTCAACCTTCTCAAGCTGCTTCTACAACTTACCTGTCAATAATCGGTTCTACTAATTTCCTCACTTATTTTCCTAATTAATTTCCTAATTCCAACCTCCAATTCTCGAGTTACTATTTTAGGTATTAATGGTAGCACATGTTGCAAGAGCTAGTACCCCAGTACAGTATTTAGAAGTTGAATGACAAACAAACGTACAGAAGGATTTGATATATATAAACATAACTAAATATGAGTTCAATGTTTCAGATCTTCGACAGTCACGTCAGTCGTTGGGAGGAGCATCAGAGAGAGCTTCTCGTCTATCGTTAAGTGGCGCGGCAGGAGGCGCTACGGGCGGTACTGCAGGTTCCCGAAGAAGACCGAGGTCAAGGTCACGTCCAGCGAGTCGATACAGCGTCGGATCGTTAGGCATGGGATATTGCGATACATCCGATAATTGGACAGATCATGATATGGACATATACATGGCTCGAAATCCGACAACACGCAGTGGACTGGTGCCATTATAGCGTGCGGGAGTGACGGTGCGGGGAACAATGACATCACGCGAGAGTTACTCGTCCTCGTGGAAAACAACAAAAGAGCGTACTTCGTGGTGTGCTCATGAGAAGCGAAAGCACCTTCGCAAGGTACATCATTCTCGCCGTCACCGACACAATCATGGAAAAAATTGCGTACACGGACGCAAATATAAGATGTTATTTGACTCTTATGCCGATTTGGTTAAATATTAAATTTTACCAGTTAGAATAAGCTAATTACTAGTGGTAGAGTGTATTGTAAGCACTCAGTTAAACTTGTAGGTACCACCGTCCTGCCTATTTCTGCCGCTAAGCAATTTTATATACTTTGCAATTTAAAAGGTAAAATAGGAATTTTGAATATATTTCCGTCATGTAAGATATCGAATTTCAATACTTATTTCAGTATAGTTTGATAACCTACAAGATTTGCCAATTGTTTTAATATTTTACCATACTAGTTACAAGCAACAAATTATGGTATTGTAGCTTTATGATAAACTTAATTTTACCAACTAAATTGATTAAAAAATACTAGTTAAAATAGGGCATTGCCTTATACCAATGATACCAATGATAACAGATCCATATAAAAAGAATGTGAATGATAAAAAATAATAGTCAACGTTCACTCAGAGTTCTATTGACTTTAGAGAATATTTTCAATAATAGTTCTACTTCTCAGAGGTATTAATTTTTCGACACCGTATACGTATAGAAAGCTAAAACCACAGACTCTTCACAAGAGAAATATTTTACGAGATGTTGCCAGCATCGACATGAATCAAATGTTAATGATATAAGTGGTCATATTTAGCTCTTACCGTTTTGTAACGCCTACAAAAAGTACGGTACATAAATAAGTAATACTAAATAAATAAATAAAAATCTCATCCAATTAATAGACATTGAGATATACTATAATTACTTAATCAATTAATTATAAAATCTATATATTAGTATATTTCTATCTATTTATATCTATTGTAATAACGTTATAAAAGAGTCTTCTATAAGATGTCTACACTTTCAATATATTATTATGAACTTTGAAGATATTTCTTACAAAAACCAAACAAAAATCTATACTTTTTAGATGACCTGACCCTAAGGTCTTATTTTAATAACAGGGATTTATGTCAATCAATATAAACAAAATAAAAAAATAGTATAAAAAATAAGGTATTTTGCGGTTTCTACAATAAGATTGTTTTAGACATATTCATTTGAATACTGTCGGAATATATACAAAAAACGATTTTCTATGATTGTTGCATCAAAAAATGCAAATAAAAAAAAACAGTAAGCTCGCTTTGCACAAAAAGTGTCGATTTGGTTCGAGCGAAATGAACGAGTCGATATCAAACCAGTTAATATAAGTACGTATAGGTTATCCGTTATAGGATTGTAAATATTTATTTAGTAATAAAAGTATTTTAGTTAAGAGATATATTTATAACCAAAATAAAAGAGCGCACAATCCAAATGGTGCTATCTGAACAGTTACAGCTGCTATATCTTATGTAATTTCATTTGGGTCATTCTATTGTCCATTAATGTTTAACTTGGCAAATTTGTAGTAAGCATGTAGATTTGAAAAAATTGAATGACAATAAATTTTAATGGTTAATATTTTGTTTTTCTATCAATTATCTCATTTTCCTACACTTAGCCTGTATTTTTTCTAGGTTTTTTTTTTTAATTGCTTAGATGTGTGTACGAGTTCTCAGCCCACCTGGTGTTAAGTGGTTACTGGAGCCCGAAGACATCTACAACGTAAATGTGCCACCCACCTTGAGATATGAGTTCTAAGATCTCAATATAGTTACAACGGCTGCCCCACCCTTCAAACCGAAACGCATTACTGCTCATGGCCGAAATAGGCGGGGTGGTGGTACCTACCCATGCGGACACACAAGAGGTCCTACCACCAGTAATAAATTTAGGAATAAATTTGAAGACATTTAAAATATGTGACAGCATAATCCATTGTATGACTTATCATTATGTTGTATGAGTTATTGTTTTTCAATCACAATTAATCATTCTATTGTGTGCAAATTTAATCAAAAAATCATATGGATTCAAAAATTGCTTAATATTCAACTATTTTCTAAATTAAAAATACATAAGTCCTAACGTATGTAGTTGTGGACTAAGAATTAGTAATGCAGAATAATAATCATTCGGTTGCTTACCCAGGAACTGGTATTTGCATCTCCCACCTATACTGCAGCTCTTGAATGAATTCATACCACAAATGTGCTAAATATGAAAGGCCACCAGCATCATGCAGTTTCGCTGCAGTTACTGATAATCTCCAGACGAGGCAATCTTCAGGGCTACTCTTTACATAGCTGCATAGCTTAGATTCATTACCATCCTAGAATTAATAAAAGAGTTTTGTAAAAAATTATACTGATTTTTTGTAATTGATATTGTATACAGTTTAAATATTACATATTAACGATTGCAAATTTGTCCAAACTAACACTATTAAGAGGAAATCTACATTTGTTTCGTTGAAATATTTTCTAGAAATACATTAGGCAAATATCTGAATTCTTATCAGTATTATGTATTTCTTAGTCCACTATTCCTCAATATCATGGGCTATAATTATAATAGTAAAAATGTTTATTTTTTTAAATTGTTTGTACATCTAATGTATGATAGTAAAAAAATCCTTATGATTAAAGGATGCATGGGTTGTTCTATTTTGAGTAGCAATAGAGATAAAACTAAAACACAATTATGGTCACTTTTCATTTATCTTACCACTCAAAAGGCTAAATGAGACAAGATCTTGTTCTCTGGATCACGGCTCTGAATTTCTTTTATCCACTGAATTCAATTAAGAAGATAATCAATTTAACCTTTCCAAAATTTTGCCATTCCATTATTTAGCTAATGTCACTTAAACCTAAAAAGTTTTATTTTACAAACCTGTTTAAATTCCATTTTCAAATGAGGAGGATAAATATGAGTGCCATCTTCAACAGCATCAGGAAATATATAGTATAAAAGGGGCATTAACAGTTCATCTGATATAGGCCCCTTGAATTCAGATGTATGACGACCATGACCCATTGCAGCCTTCACCAATTTGGATATAGTAATAGGAGCTTCTGTAATCTTGTTTAATGGGTTAACTAGTCCTAGACTTTTACTCAAGCCAAGAGTGTCCATTAATAGATAAGAATTATCTAAGAGTTCCATCACCTTCCCTATTAATTCTGACAATTGGAAATTTATATTTTCTCTCATCTTTAAAGTTAGAGTCCAGGTTGGTGCCATTAATGGATCGATATCTGAAAACGTAGATGATTCCACTATTGTGCATTCTCTAAATTTTGGCCATATTGCATTAAGTAAAACACTTTTTGTGGGGTTCTTATCACAGCCAAATGGCAGTTCAATCAACTTCTTTACATCAAAACCATCTATAGACAAAAACTCGTTTGACTGTGTTCGCTGACCCCATGCAAAAGCATCTAAATCTTTCAATTCATATGAAAACTTTGTTGAAACAACAACAGCATCCAATGCCACTGGTGAAGCAATTTTTGACTTAAATAATCCAACGAGGCCAGTTAAGTGGGAGCACTGATTGGATATCCTCTTTAAATGAATAGTGTCAAAGCTTATCTTATATTCATTGTCTTCATAGAATCCTAAATAAGTATGTTGCCAGTGTTCTCTTATCTTAACAAATAAAGGTACACCACAATCAACATTTGCAAATGCTATGTTTAAACTACTCATAACCAGTTTAATTAAACTACCTTCAACAAGTGCTACATTAGGATACAACATTAAATATTGTTTTAAACCAAACCAGTTTGACACAGGAAAGGGACTCTCGTCACTGTCATCCATAAACCTAGTCGTGGCTTCCCAAAGTCCATCTTGGATTTCGACCAACAATGATTTATCACTTGATTCTTCAGTGCTTTCTGGTTTACTTTTACAGTTCATATAATTATAAGAAAGAGTAAATTTCTGTCCTTGATAGCTTATTTCTTCGCTTTTTGTAAACCATTTTTTTGCATGATTTTCAACAGAATGCTTAACCATTGTGGATTTAGACAGTCTCCAATCAATCAGTACCTCTTCTATTCGTGCTACAAATACCTCCCATTCTGATACGGTAGTAAAATCTTGGTGGTAAATGTCGTATTCATCTATTTCTTCATTCATTTCTAAATCAACAACTCAAATATTTTATCTCTACGTTTTGTCGTATATTTGAGTTTAATTTCTGCAAATCTCTATTAGAACAAGTATAGTTGAAATGTTTGTGAAGAAAACAATGAAAACATCTGTTTCTGTTTTGTTCGGTACCAAATTTTTTTAAGGGATTTTATGACCTGGTAATTAGACCTTTGGTCAAGTCTTATTTTAACTTTAATGATAACTTTTTTAACTTTAAAAATTATATTATGAAATGAAATAAACTTGATTATTATGAAACATGGCTTGAAATGAAATGAAATGAGATGATATGGGATGAAGTATAATCTCAGTAAAATGGTGATCATTTACTGAGACTTTTTCAGTGGACTTTTTAGAAGATCCTGAGAAGTTACGTTCAGCGACTTTGTTTCATTTTCCCCACATTTGTACACTTTCACAGATACTAAATAGTTAGTAAACCACCATTATTACACATTTAAACCTGAAGAAACACTAATTAGAAAAAATAAAACAAATCACACAAATTCACTCCTCGCGTTCCCGCCAAAAAATCTCGGTACCGTACCGTAAAATGGGGCGATTAGGGACAAATTCCAACTTTATGAGCAATTTTAAGGTAGTTGTTGATGTATATAATGCTATATCAGGATCAAAATGATTGAGTCTTGGGGGCATCTTTGTTGTCTAATTTAAAATTAAGCAACTAGCATTCCAGTTTAAGCAAAAAATGCAAAAATAGGTGTAATCCCTATTTACCCGAAAATTGCGGTTAATTGGGACGAAATGAGAAATTTGCTAGGGTTGGCACTACTTTTATTTTTATATATAGTTTTAATTTATTTATTTATTTAGTTGCACCAACAAAGTGATCATCAATAAAAAAAATTGAAAAACTGACAAAAGTACATGGCAGACATCACCTCAATTATAGGTGCAATCGACAGTGCTGATATTTCTATCTGGGTTAAGAGATTAGGTGTGTCGGTTATTCCATGGATTAATCAGATGAATACCCCCACTCTGAACAAATATTAAATATTTTATTATGTATTACTTAGACATTTTTGTCCACCTTGAGATTTCATTGATCTTGTTACATGTCTCTGCAAAATCGACTTACTTATATTAAATTGCTTATCTATTTCAACTAAAGACTTATTCCCAATTTCGCTTCGAATAAACCAGATTTTTACCAACAAATTTAAAAAATATTGTTATAACTACATAGACAACCCTACAAACCTGTACCTATTTATACTTAGGTCGTTTCCATTTCACGTATTCTCATCCCAATTGACCCCTTTTTCGTTGTTATTTGTACCTAAGACGTCCCCAATATCCCCAAAAACAACAGATTTTTACATGTATTTTTATTTAATCAAATACATTAAAACCAATAACAACTGAGACTTACCTTTAATATATATGCTGGTTCAAACACTAAATAACGTTTATAAATCATAGTCGTCTTCTATTATTATCAAATAAATAAAAGAGAGCAAAGTTTCTAGCACTAAAATAATTACCACCACAGGAAGTTAATTTGAAGCGCGATTTTTTATAAGTTAGCAGCTATTATCATGCATATTCAGAGTTGTTTTGTGAACTTTCAACATTCTACTATTAAACTACAAAAAATGGAAGATTTTGCAACGAATATAAAACTTATATTGAGCGTCGAAAGATTTTCCCGGTTTTTTCCCGATTCGCCTTTCAATCCCTAATCGCCCCATTTTACCGGCACCTACCAACTTCATAGTCATAGATAATACACAACCTAGTTTTGTTTTTTACGATATAAGACAGTAGAAGTCTAGTAGGTACGGTAGGAATAGTTCAATTTTTCCAACTGGAAAGGCATAGCTATCACACCATAATATAGCCTTATCATTTGTAAATTCCATTTTATTGAAAATGTAATGGAACGAAATGAACTGTTGTTGATTAATTTGAGACATTAATCAATTGGGATGAAATCAAATGAAACGATATGATATGGAATGAAATATCGTCTCAGTAAATTAGTATTTATTTAAAAAAGAAATCGACGTTAGGGCTGTTTTACAAACACGTGGCGTTGTGACCTCCGCTCTAGAGGGGAACGGCGCCCCCACGAAAGATTAATTCGAGTGCGGAGGCTCTAATTTCGGTAATCCGTGCTGGAGGCGTGGTTTCGTCGTTTAGTTAACCCGTCCTACGTTTTCAAGACTGATGAGGCGATCCACCCTGTTCCTGCGGACTGGAGCCGCAACTGAGGACGTGACACCTTCCTGCTGACGCAAGTTCTCACCGGCTACGTTTGTTTCGATTGGTACCTGCACCGTGTCGCCTGCAGAAAATCGCCGGCGTAGTGCCACCACTGCTACGATGAGGCGGACACCGCAGAGTACACCCTCGCGGTAACAGGAGAAGCACCTGTCGCTGCCGACCTTCGCTCGACTTCTGTGAGTCCACCATCTCGCAAAAGAAGGCGGTGTAACGAAAGAGGGAGAGCTCTTCCGTCTCTACATCGACCCGTCGTTGTCGAGCCGGGGATCGGAGGACACAGTACGAACGTATGTCCCAGCCCTTCTGCGAGAGTGCAAAAGAGTCGCTTAGTGGGTATAGCCTTAAGCTCGATTCCATGGGTAAGCGGTCCGCTTTCAACATCTACGGACCGTCCAGTCCCACATTCCAAGCGCGCCCTGCTGGAACGTGGACCTCGTAGGATGTTCGGCCAGTACAGTAAAAAATAAAGGTAAGTTTTTCAAGAGTGAAGTAAAATAGAATTAATTGAGGTTAGTTATGATAAAATGAAATTATATTTACTTAGTGAAATGATAAAAATTCACGGAAAAGAAACAGAGCAGCCACTTGCAGCTTTTTCGTTTTATTTTCTTTTAGATAACATTTTATCTGTTAAAGATATGGATAGAACAGTTAATAAAAATTACATGTTAAGCATGCGCGAAGAATTACGCAATTTATTTAAACAAATCACGCAACATCACTCCTTGCATTCTCACACAAAATTCCGACCATCGACATTTATTGTGATTATCATTCACCTGTTTCCATAGCAACTACAATGCTTAATTTTTCAACATTACATTTCAGTTCTCCATATTTCAATCATTATAATTGGGGATTAAACTCGAACGTAATTGGACAGGTTGTTAAATAAATTCGAACGTTGTGATTATTGTTCCTTGAATACCTACTGCGATAAAGTACAAAATATAATTGAACAGCACAATGTTTAGAGGCGATAGTTCACATTCTTTAAGTTATGAACAACAAGCAAAGTTTATAAATGACCGTATTACTAGTGTTGAAAAAAATTTTGGTGAACTGTGTGTGGCATTTGGTAATTACACACGAAAAACTGCCAGGTTAGTTAGTTTCTGTATATTTATCTAAACATGAAGTATTAATTCTTATTTTATAATTCTATTATAATCTATAGCATCATTAGCCAAACTATAAGGTTTGTCAAAGCGCGGGTTCAAGACGAATACCGTGTTTATCGAAACATGTGATACATACTATTACATACGTGTTAAAAACAAACAGCTATTTCGGCATGTAGCTCAAATAAATTAATTATTTTAAATAATACAATTCGTGAAACCGCGGTAAATATGAAAGTAATGTCATATTAAAAACTTATCATCTATAAAGATTCTACAAAAGAAGATTTATTACATAACATTCGATTGCGTTTAAAAGATTACATTTCTAGTCTTCTGTAATTACAAGGTAAAGGTAAATGTGTGACAGTCATATTTACCCATCAACGCCCACTGGAAGAAATATACTTAGTTATCCTATTACCACCTACATTATCTACATATTCCATTAAAGTTATTTTAGAATGTGTAGTTTTCTTTTCAAATCTGACGATACAAAGCTCTTCGTCTTCGTGGTGCGATACGAGAAAACGATCGCCAACGTCCATACCATGTTGAATACACCGGTTCTCGTCCGATCACCGAAGTCAAGCAACATCGGGCGTGGTCAGTACTTGGATGGGTGACCGCCTGGGAACACCACGTGATGTTGGCTTTTTGTTTTGTTTTATTTGTTTTGAGATATCGTAACAATGACTTTTTGAAGGCGCAATACAACAAACCATTCGCCAACGTCCATACCATGTTGAATACACCGGTTCTCGTCCGATCACCGAAGTCAAGCAACATCGGGCGTGGTCAGTACTTGGATGGGTGACCGCCTGGGAACACCACGTGATGTTGGCTTTTTGTTTTGTTTTATTTGTTTTGAGATATCGTAACAATGACTTTTTGAAGGCGCAATACAACAAACCATTCGCCAACGTCCATACCATGTTGAATACACCGGTTCTCGTCCGATCACCGAAGTCAAGCAACATCGGGCGTGGTCAGTACTTGGATGGGTGACCGCCTGGGAACACCACGTGATGTTGGCTTTTTGCTTTGTTTTATTTGGTTTAGGATCTCGTAACAACACCGACTGTTTGATGGCACAATATGACAAACCATCCGCCAACGTCCATACCATGTTGAATACACCGGTTCTCGTCCGATCACCGAAGTCAAGCAACATCGGGCGTGGTCAGTACTTGGATGGGTGACCGCCTGGGAACACCACGTGATGTTGGCTTTTTGCTTTGTTTTATTTGGTTTAGGATCTCGTAACAACACCGACTGTTTGATGGCGCAATACGACAAACTATTCGCCAACGTCCATACCATGTTGAATACACCGGTTCTCGTCCGATCACCGAAGTCAAGCAACATCGGGCGTGGTCAGTACTTGGATGGGTGACCGCCTGGGAACACCACGTGATGTTGGCTTTTTGTTTTGTTTTGTTTTATTTGGTTTGGGATCTCGTGACGACACTGAGTTTTTGGTGACAAAATACGAAAGTGCGATCACAGAAGTCGAGCAACATGAATAAAACCAACATTATTGAGACGTTGAATAAAAAATTACCTTTTCTAATTCAAGGTTTGTATTTAAGCCGAAAATAATTAATACAAGTTTTAGCGATCTATGAAGAAATAAAAAGCGAAATTTGTGTTTGGAAATAAATTTCAGAGTAGGTTGCATTTTTATAATTTGGGTTCTGAGGACCAACCTGCGTGTTTATATATGTTACGGTAAAAAAAATTATTTCTTCATAGATCGCTAAAACTTGTATTAATTATTTTCGGTAAAAGTAGATATTGCGGCAAATGTACACATTTACCGGAAAATATTGCGTAGTAAGTAGATATTGCGGCAAATGTACACATTTTCCGGTAAATGTGCACATTTGCCTCCTCGTTTGGGTAATGTGCATTCAACTAACATTTACAATTTCAAAGAAGGGAAATGTGCATTGAATTCACAATGACCATGTCGTTTTGGTAAATGTGAGCATGGCATACAAAATACGAAATCGCAAGTGGTAGTAATTGCGCATGCGCATGCACACCACTACAACCTAACCTCACCTAACCTACGCAATATTGTATAATGTGCAAAGAAAAGTATGTTTTGTTTGTCATTAACTTTTTTATTTTAATAATTGTCGTTATTAAAACTTTTTTATTTAAATAAATATTTAATGCAACAACATTATTAATTTATTTGTATTCCAACTTTTCTTAAAACATGAAGGTAATAGTATTATACATTTACCAAAACGTGAAGGCAAGAGTACACATTTGCCCGGAAATCTATAATTCTATACTAATATTATAAAGAGGAAAGATTTGTTTGTTTGTTTGTTTCGAATAGGCTCCGAAACTACTGGACCGATTTGAAAAATTATTTTTCCATTAGAAGCCGACATTGTCCCTGATGAACATAGGCTACTTTTTTTTTATTTTATTTTTTTTGTTTCATGTGTATTTTAATGTTTCCGAAGCGAAGCGAGGGCGGGTCGCTAGTGTACAATATACTTAGTCTGGCCATAAATACTGTTACAAAGGAAAACAAAAAAAATTATATGGCAAATAACATTTATTACGTTTACAGTGTGTTAGTTTAATACATAAATATAAAACAATTTAATGTATAAAAAGCTTATTCGAAGTGGTCTCCATTGGCTGCAATACAGTCCTTTAAACGTTGAGGCCAGTTATCAATAGAAGCACGTACTCTTTCCATGGGAAAATTTTTCACTGCCAATCGTACGGATTGTTTTAGGGACTCCAAATTATCATGGCGTGTAGAACAAGCCGTACTCTCTAAAACTGACCATAAATCATAATCCAGCGTATTAAGATCGGGACTAGACGACGGCCAGTCTTCAGCTCTGATGAAGTCCGAAACGTTCGTTTCCAATCAAGACTGCATAGACCGAGCTTTATGACCTGGCGCCGAGTCTTGCTGGAAGGACCATTTTTGATTGTTGAACATGGTGTTGTTAAGGGGCTTCACTACCTTCTCAAGATTGGCATCTTGATACACTTGTGCCGATGTTTTGATACCTTTTTCACAAAAGTATGGCTCAGTCACTCCCTTCATAGCTAATACCCCACCAAACCATCACTGAAGTCGGATAGTGCCCACGTTGCACTCTGTCGACTAATTGGGAAGCTTCCTTAGAGCTTTGAGCATAAATACGGTCATTTTGTTTGTTAAAATGTTGCTCAATTGTAAAAAGTTTCTCATCCATAAACAAAATTTTTCTATGACCTACCTTTGCGTACCGCTTCAGTAGTTGTTTCGATTTTACCACCCTATTCTCTTTTAAATTATCAGTTAAGAAATGACCAGTACGTCTCTTATAGGCTGCAAGTCCTAAGTCATCTTTTAAAATACGCGACATGGTTCTAGGTGCTATCTTCATCTCCCGAGATAAAATCTTTTGCTTTCGGACAGGATTTCTTCGAATTCTTTCNTCAGTTAAGAAATGACCAGTACGTCTCTTATAGGCTGCAAGTCCTAAGTCATCTTTTAAAATACGCGACATGGTTCTAGGTGCTATCTTCATCTCCCGAGATAAAATCTTTTGCTTTCGGACAGGATTTCTTCGAATTCTTTCCCTTACTGCTTTGACCACCTTTTTCGTACGAACACTACGTGGACGGCCAGATCTTTTTCTGACACAAACAGAGGAGGTCTCATTGCACCTATTAATAGCCCGGTACACAAACATTTTACTAATACCAAGCGCATGGAGAGTTTTAAAAATTGCATTTGGCTCCATACCTACTTTGTGTAATGCAATCACAGCGATTCGGTTCTCTTTATCATCCCACTCCATTTTAATATCGCAAAATATTGTACAATGTATTGGCGCCAAAATGAGAAAACTCAATGAGCAATCAAATAAAAATGACAGATTCCAAATTCAAATATAGTAGTTTGTTTATTTTTAATTGTAACAGTATTTATGGCCAGACTAAGTACATTATATTCAGTTCACATATACCTAACTTTTTCAAATGTGCACATTTACCGGTAAAAGTGTACATTTCCCAAGAGTGTACATTTACCGTAACATGTATATCTAGTACAGCTTTTTCATTGCTGTTTGACTATATTTACATTCAATTTAATTAATTAGAATACAAACAAAACAATAAAAGAGTGAAATATTAAGTCATGATACCTAATTAATTTTTGTGTGATATTTTTTTTATTGCTTAGATGAGTGGACGGCTCACAGCCCACCTGTTAAGTGGTTACTGGAGCCTATAGACATCTACGACGTAAATGCGCCACCCACCTTGAGATATAAGTTCTAAGGTCTCAAGTATAGTTACAACGGCTGCCCCACCCTTCAAACCGAAACGCATTACTGCTTCACGGCAGAAATTGGTTGGGTGGTGGTACCTACCCGTGCGGACTCACAAGAGGTCGTACCATCAGTAAAATCTATTCTATATTGATATCTTGCAATTTACTTACATTTTAATGAGCTTTCATGATGATAACGATGATAACTCTATTTAGCCTAGGACTACTAACAATAACACACATAGACATTAATAATTCAACTATGCAGATTAAGAGATATGGGTGACGAACTGACCAAAGTACTCAAGAGTTACGCAAATAATGAAATCGTTAATAAATCTTTAAGTACGGGGTTGGACAATCTTTCGGTCACCCTGACGGCTTTAGAAGAATATCGAAATTGTGAAGTACAACGGCTAGAAGCTAAGGTAATTTTATATCATTCTTTGCAATTGTCTCAGTGCATCAGCTCGGTTTCTTAGAGTATGACCTATTATCGTAAGTACTAAGTGTTAAATGGTTAATGAAACCTATAGATACCTCAAAATGTATGATTTCGAATGTTTTTAAAATGTAATTAATGGATATAACTTTAGAAAATAGTAAATGGTGGTCAGTATGTATTAAATACACTTGTTTTAATTATGAGTTACCTAAAAGCTTCACTATACCCTAAGTTTAGACATATTCATGTGTTTGATATTAAAATTATTTGGCTTAATAAAATTATTGGTTTAATGAAATTATTCTGCTTGCAGGTCATAGGTGAACTGTCGCAATATGATACTATATGTAAACATGCCAGAGAAGAAGTAAAACACGCAATGAATGTTAGAGACAAAGAGCTTGCTCGTAAGAAAGTCTTGGATAAAGCTAGGGAACGACAACCATTTAATAGACAGCAAGTGGTAATTTTCGTTTTCATTTATGATATTGTATTTATCTATACTTATTATTATTATTAATATTATAAAGAGGAAAGATTTGTTTGTTTGTATTGAATAGACTCCAAAACTACTGAACCGATATGAAAAATTCTTTCACTGTTTGGAAGCTACACTATTCCCGAGTGACATGGGCTATAAACTTTTTTTGAAAAAAATTAGGGATCCTTAATAAAACTCCAATAATGTAACCCAAGGTGTAAAAAAATACCTAAAACATTCTTTACATCGCGTGTCCTGCGAAAACTATTCAGGATAGAATAAATTAATGTACTACGACTTTGTAGAACACATTATTATTTACAAAAAGTATCGCAACAGCATATTTCTCACTATTATAGTTACGCCGCAATAAGTGTTCTTTTATTTAAAAAAATAAAACAACGTCAAATATCGTTGAAATTTTTGTTAAAGACCCGAGCGAAGCCGGAGCTCCTGCCGCTAGTCCTGAATAAATAGATATAAGTAAACTAATTTTAGACTTACGCGGAATCGGAGTTTATGAAAGCGTCAGCGGAAATGTCACGGAGTGCCAAAAGCCTGAGTGAACAGACAGAGTTCTTTGAAAAACGTAAACTACAGCAACTAAAGAACTTACTGTCGGATTTTGTTACGATTGAAATGGCATTCCATGCTAAGGCGGTGGAACTGCTCACCGTGGGCTATCAACAAATAGATGAAATTAATGATAAAGCAGATTTAGAGGTAAGATATTATAGCTTCTATGTCAAATTAAAATAGGGATGTAAAGAAAAAATATTTAGTATTAGATATTTTCCAAATATTCGTATAGTGTCTGAAATGGAAAAGAATCTTTTAAAATTAAATATTATGCTTTAATTATTTCTTTACTGGTGGTAGGACCTCTTGTGAGTCTGCGTGGGTAGGTACCACTATCCTGCCTATTTCTACCGCGAAGCAGTAATGCATTTCAGTTTGAAGGGTGGGGCAGCCGTTGTAACTATACTTGAGACCTTAGAACTTATATCTCAAGGTGGTTGGCGCATTTACGTCGTAGATGTCTATGGGCTCCAGTAACGACTTAACACCAGGTGGACTATGAGCTCGTCCACCCACCTAAGCAATAAAAAAAACCTTTACTTCAAAATTCACACAATTTAAAAACCTAAGTAACCGAGTATCAAAGCTATTTAAATACGGAATGTAATTAAATTACAACGATCATCCAAATACCTACTATTTTTGTGTAATATTATGTATGTAACATGCTGCGTGCATTTTCAATCGCGTTTCGTAAAGTATCCGACTCAATTTTAGAAAATTCATACAATATGTTCTCTAATGGCTATTTAATCTACCTACTCTACTATCTATTTTCAAAAAATTGTTCTAATTTCTATTTGAATATATAATTATTTAGAAGTTCGATAAGGTTTCGTTAAGGTCAATAATCTATTAACACATATTTTTAGCTTTTGAATACAGGTCTATCAGATAACGAGGAACCATTGGTAATTATTATGAATTATCGATTTTACGGTCATAATTGATATAAATAACGTTCATAATCAAAACATTCATTCAATATAGAATTTTAGAAGAAAACTGCGATCTCCGGAGAAACAAGTCAGTACCGGTATATCAGCAAGATCATCATCACTGGCATCACTAATGACGCATTCACCAGTTAATAACGACGATCCGGCGGTAAACCTTACTGCTTTCTATTACGCGTCTACCAATAGAAAATTAAATGTAGCTAATTAATTGATTGGCATCCAGTTTAACAATATGTATTGTAAAATTGAGATTTTATTAATATAGAGTTGCTTTTGTACATATATAATAATATAACATAATTGTTTTTGCGCTATTAATTCTATACTAGATGATGACCAATATATAATGCTATAACGCCATCTTGTTGTGTCTTTAAAGCGGTTAGTTGCCCTCAATTAAGAAAAATAGTATTATTATTCGCCAATAGATGTCAGGAAGAGTTGATTATTGAAAACACGAATAAAACAACATTTTCTGAAAATAAATCGTAGCTAGATCGATTTATCGCCCCCGAAATCCCCTGTATACTAAATTTTATGAAAATCGCTGGAGCCGCTTCAGAGATTCAGATTATATATATATATATCTTTTTCAGGCTGTGCGAAAATTACGTACTCCAGAGAAATCTGGTGTTACGCGGTCTAGTTCTTTAGCAGCGCTCATGAACCATTCGCCTAGTAAAGATGAAGATGAAACAACGGTAAGGAAATGCAGTAATAAAATTTCACAAAACGTACCGTACACATATTTTTTAAATATTAAAAATTAAACCTTTAGGGATCCAGTGAATCTTGCAGTGAAGAATCGTCTGAAGAAACAGAGTCACGTTAAACGTTGCAGTGTTTAGTCCTTAACACGTTGATTGTAGTTATTATTAAGTAATACACGTTTTGAGACTGTGCATCTTTATTTGTCGAATAAAACTAATTCATTGCAACATAAAGAAATTTCATTTTACTACCAAGCATTATGTACGTCCTAGTATCTTAATATTATGATACGTATGTACCAATTCTATCTATTTTTATACCTACATACATATAAAAATAACGTTTTTAAGTTCCAATCACCTAGATCAGGGGTGAGCAAGTACACAAAAAAGCTCGATATTTGGGTACCTACCTCACGAGCTCACTGAAAGAAACCGTGTAGGTACTCATTTGTGATTATTTATTACGACGTAATGAAACTGAACCATTTTTGAAGAAGCTGATAACTGGTGATGAAAAGTGGATCACGTACGACAAGAACGTGCGAAAAAGGTCGTGGGCAAAAGCCAGTCAGGTTTCACGGACTGTGGCGAAACCCGGGTTAACTCGCAACAAGGTGATGCTTTGTGTGTGGTGGGATTGGAAGGCATTATTCATTATACGCTGTTACCAACAGGAAGGGCCATCGATTCTGAACTCTACTGCGAACAACTGATGAGAATAAAGCAAGATGTTGAGAGAAAGCGGCCGGAATTAATCAACAGAAGGGGTGTGGTTTTTCATCATGATAACGCTAGACCTCACACATCTTTAGCCACTCAGCAAAAATTAAGAGAGCTTGGCTGGGAGGTGTTAATGCATCCGCCGTATAGTCCTGACCTTGCACCTTCAGATTTCCACCTGTTTCGGTCCCTTCAGAATTCTTTAGGCAGGGTCAGGTTAACGTCACGAGAGGACTGCATAAACCAATTGTCGCGGTATTTTGACCAGAAGCCCTAAAATTATTATAGCAGTGGGATCATGTCCCTACCTACAAGATGGCAAAAAGTTATCGAACAAAATGGTACCTGCATACTTTAGTTAATGTAAATAAAGTATATTAAATTTTTTTGTGAATTTTCTTAAAAAATGCGAAGAAACTTTTCTCCTAACCTATTATATAATTTAAGTATAGGCAATCATTAGTTGTGATGGCTCGTGCGAAAATGAGATATAGAGAAAAAGCGAAATGGTAAAGGGGCCCGTGGCGCAATTGAATCTGGACCCTGAAGAAAGCCGATCGCGACCGAATAGATGCATTTGAGATGTGGTGCCGGCGAAAGATGCTAGGAATTCTCTGGACAGCACGTCGCACGAACGTTTCGATCTTCCAAGAACTCAATATAAGGACGAGGCTTTCTACCATCTGCCTACATAGAGTTTTGGAATACTTTGGCTACATTGCCAAAAAGGTTGACGGTAGCTTGGAGAAGCAAATGGTTACTGGCAAGGTGGACGGAAGAAAACCACGAGGTAAAGGCCCAACACGTTGGACTGACCAGACCACTACTCTAGACACCACAGATCACAATCCTCTACACTCAGCGGCAGATAGGAGCAAATCGCGTAGTATGATCCAGAATAAACTCTTGCTGCGGGGAGGTGGTTACGACCCTCAATACTGAGGAAACCAAAGCGAGAAGAAGGAAAGCCAATAGAGAATTACTCAAAAGCAACATTAAAATCACTTATTTACTTTAAGTAATTAATATTAATTTATTAGAATTTATTAGAGAAACAATATAATGTATATAATCTATTTGTAGCCTTTGAGCAGTCAGTATTTATGTAAACTGATTCATTAGATATTTAACAAGCCTGTTTATTCCAAATCAAAACTTTCGTTTTGTAGGTATATTTGGTCAGGCCTATTGATTCTTCATTACCAACATGCAAACATGATAGTGCCATGATGTTCCTGGTACTGGTTGATACTAAATCAATATGCACCCACCCTTCTCTCTCATAGTTTGAATATTAAAACATGATGTGAACTATGAATAATAAAATTTAATTACAAAAAATGTGTCACAAATACAATTTGGTGTTTCTATACTAAAACATATGTTTAAACACATTAATTTGTTGTGTACACTGTTTGTAAATCATTATTGCCATCTATCATTAACATTATCAAAAAATTATCCTTACAAGCTATGGAACAATTTTATTTAAGGCATTTTGTGTTATGCAAACTCAACACAAAGGTTATCTTCCATGGAATCAATTACTTGCTTTCAATTCATATCATTTTTCACTAATTTTTTTTTTCTTAACTTTGATATTCGCTTTATTACTATCAAACAATGGATTGGAAACAAATAATAAAGCATTATACTAATTCAAAGAACTACAACATCTATTTTAAATACTGGAGTTTAACAACACTGAAAACAAGAGTTTTACGTAAATCACCATACTGGTTGTATACACTGCAACAGCATAACTGTGATCATAAAACTGAACTGAAGGTTGCTGGTTGAAGGTTGGAAAGTTAAAGGTCGTTGAAAATTTTCCGACTTTCCGACTTTCGCTTATAAATACAATATACCAATGAAAACATTGAAATGATTCAATTTGATATACCTATTTCAAATTCTTTGGATGAGGTAGTTTTGTTTGGGGAAATTATAATTTTAGGTTTAGTGAATATCTAGATTTTCTAATATACGTGACTTGCTGTGAGTTAAAAAGCTTCAAATATCTACAAAATTATTTATATTTATTGTTGATCCAGGCATCGATTATCTTGGGATGATATTCTAACGCAAATTGATAGATGAAAACTATTTCTACTTTTCATTTTCAACACCAGCTTGTGTCATAAGATCTGTAATATTCTTTTCCAGTTCATCAACTCTGCTTCCCATTTCATCAATTCTATTTATGATTTGATCAGACATACTTTGAAATTTATCTTGCATGTTTTGTAGAAGTGATTGTACCTGAAAAAATTTTTTTACAAATCAAAGTATTCAAGAGGTGATTTCATTACAATAACTGTCTAGGGGTTATAAGGGTTTTAAAGGTGAATTTGGTTTAAGTGACATTTTTGCAACATTGCAGGAAAACCATTTAAAGTTTACATTTAAAAAATTATTATAACAAAAAACTTCTTCAGCTATTTGAATGAGAAACTTAATTGAAGTTCAATTAAAAACATCAAATTGTTGATGCTAATACCAAATAAAAAGCACCTTTAATTACAAAGATATTTGGCAAAATATCACTTAAACCAAATGGCCCTTAAACCCTCAATATACTTTTAAGCTAGTACCTTGAATCTCATTATTAGTCTGATAGTTATTATCATTTAAAAAACTGTTAGTATTTCGTAACACAAGGAGTTCAGACTTCAATTACACATCTGCCCCTATATTTATGAAAAATACTGAACACACAATTTACACAAATTTATGTATATCACTATCTCTACAAAACATTTTATTTTTTAAAGGATTAATTTAACACTTCTACCCTCATAATTAAACAGCACATTTTATTCCCATATTGACATCTTAGCTGTAACCAAGAATATAATTAACCTAATATCAGATACTACTACATAATCGGTGCAATTTTTGGAAAATATACTTTTCATATCTTGAAATTGGGACTGAAATATGTACCTAACCTTAGCTTAGCTTATTTAGGATAACGGTACTATTTGAATTTTTTTTTAGAATATTGTCCAACTATTTAGTTTAATTTTGGAAACACGACTTATAATAGATTTGATATTTAAAATTTGTCATAAATCAATCAGGCTTTTCATAGTTTACCTTTTTAATAATCGTTTGTGAAACCAACAAGGAATAATCATTTATTCTAACCGAATACTTTGTAGAGAATAAATAGAACGATAAGTTATTAAATAAAATATTTCACTACAAATACTAAAAACTTACGTATTGTGTCACTTCCTGCATATTTTTTGGATCGCTGGCTGGTGTTGAGTATTCATTTTCTGTGTTTTTAACAATATTGTCAGAGTTCGGTTCTGCCATATTAAAGAAAATAAAATATATTCCAACGTGAATGCTCGTACGTGTCGGAATATACTCGTAAACAAACTAGTGGTTGTGGTTACAGCTATTGCATGTGTCACTCAAAAACTCGAAACATTGAAATCATAGATTATACACTTAGAAATTTAAATTCTGTAAGCTAGGTACAAAGCGATGTTCACAGTAGATCTTTACTGTATTATCTATGGTCGATCTTTCTACTTGGTTTCGTCGGACTTTTTGGCGGGAACGCGAGGAGTGAAGTTGTGTGATTTGTTTTATTTTGTCTATTTAATGTTTCTTCGGGTTTAAATATGTAATAATTGTGGTTTATTAACTGTTTAATATCTGGGAAAGTGCACAAATGTGGGAAAATGAAACAAAGCCGCTGAACGTAACTTCTTGGGATCCTCCAAAAAGTCCACTGAAAAAATCTTAGTAAATGACCACCATTTTACTGAGATTATATTTCATCTCATATCATCTCATTTAATTTCATCTCAGTTGAATAATGTCTCAAATTAATCATCTTCATTTAATTTCACTCCATATTATCATTTTTCTTATTTTTATAAGAATAATATAAAAGTTAAATAAGACTTGACCTTAAAGGTCTTAGTCATCAGGTCATAAAATCCCTAAAAAAAACCATAACTAACTAGTACCGTACCACAGTTGCCAGATGGGTGGGATTCCCTGCAAATTCGGGGGTTTTTCGACCTTGGGGGGGAGATTCGGGGGGAAATATTATTTGGGGGGACATTCGGGGGCAAAAGCTAGTTGGGAGAAATTTGGGGGGTTTTTTGAGTACAATAATTCATCCACAAACACAATTCCCATTACTATAGTCTACTAAACTCTACTATACTATTCACAAGTCAATATTAAAAAGGACAAATTACGCAACCGAATGCCAATAAAAACTGCCGAAGCGGTTCTCAGGATTCGATTTTCACTGCCAAATAGATGCATAAATTTTGTTCACACCTCGGACATGTTATATATCTTTAACTTCGAAAACGTGTATGCTTCTAAATAATAATAACGAAAGTGAATAATAATAATTGTTTATAATAATTGTTTAGAGCTGGTTGAAGTTATGGGAGAGCTTGATTAAAAAATAAAAGTATCCTTTTGGTTTTTATTTCTTCTTTGAAATAAGTAAGTTTTCGAAAAAACTTGGGGAAAATTCACACGGTCATCTGGCAACACTGTACCGTACTAAAAAAACTACACCTACCTACCTATTTACGAAAACAAAATTAAATATACCTCATAGACGGCTCACTGAATTTGGCCCCCCTTTTTTGATTTTTAATTATTTGTTCATCGTTTGCTCGTTAATGTTCGAATGTAAAAATTGTTTGTTCGTCTTTTATTTATTTACAATTAATTAAACAAATGATCACCCTTAAGTTGGCCCCCCTTACTAGATATCTTTATGATTTCTTTAATATGATTAAATGACTCATTGTGGTTCTAAAACATAAAAAACTTCGTGAGGCTCCAATTGAGTGCTAGGTGACACATACTTAGATTTTTTTAAATAATATCCTGCTTAAAGAGTATTTTTAGCCTAAGTTTATTCTTCCATATTAAATGAATTTCTACTATAATTATGTCCCTGCAATATATTTCATATATTTCTTGAACTTATAAATAATTATCATTTCAACAAAAACAGATTTTGTGTGCATTACATTTACATTTTTGAACTGCGAAATTAATATAGGAATTATTATTTTAATATATAAAATTCTCGTGTCACGGTGCTTATCGGCTAGGGTAGAGAATCGGAAAACATCTATTTTTCATCCCCCTAAATGTTAAGGGTGGTCCAATCCTGAATTTTTTCTTTTAAACAATTTTTTTTTTTTTATGTTACAGCATACAAAAATACATACAACCCTAAATTTTCACCCCTCTGCGTTCAACCCTTATTTTTTATTTGTTAATTATAAACTTTAATTTTTTTCGCAAGATTTTCATTTTATTTTTATTTTGTCATGAATTAAAATAAAAAATCTGATGTTACTCTAAATTTTTCATCCCTCTATGATCTACCCCTATTTTTTATTTGTTAATTATAAACTTAATTTTTTTTTGCAAGATTTTCATTTTTATTTTGTCATGAATTAAAATTAAAAAATCTGATGTTACTCTTAATTTTTCATCCCTCTATGATCAACCCCTATTTTTTATTTGTTAATGAGTAACTTTAATTTCTTTGGCAAGATTTTTTTTTATTTTGTCATGACTTAAAATAAAAAAATTCATATTACTCTCAATTTTCAATCTTATACGATCACCCCCTATTTTTCCATCCCGATTTTTATTTATTTTATTCTATGCACAGATCCGCAATAAGGTTGCAAGATGGCAATCAAATATTATAATTGTAGTACGATTAATTCTTATTCAGAGTTTATAATTTCAAGTTCCTATAGTTATGATTTTTTTTTAAATTCGATTTGATCACCCGCCCTCGCCGGTCGACGACTGATCAATTATCAATCGATCAGTTATCCCCGCCAGGTGTCACCACTCGTCCAGCATACATCATGTAATAGGGATGAGGACGGAGCCGGTCTCCTGTCTTACTCACTATACATTTTTCAGCCATGTTTCTATGGTTTTATTTGTGTATCAATCGTAGCTTGCCAGCCATGTTTTTTTGGTTTTATTTGTGTATCAATAGTATGTTCAGTAGGTCTGAGAATCGGCTACTATCTATTTTTCATACCCCTAAGTGATAAGGGTTGTCCACCCCGAACATTTATTTTTTATTTTTATTTTTTGGATTAATTTTTTTTGTTATAATGAGGTTTTATGTGGTTGAATGAGGTTTTCTTTTATACGCTAGAATTTCCCTAGAAATCTTATTTAAGGCAACGCAACGTTTGCCGAGTCAGCTAGTTTTACATTATAATATATATTATACATTATAATAACTTTGTTACACAGTCGAAATTATATTCCTAACATTAGTAAAATAACATTTTAATACGATAGGTAAGAGGATGGAAAAAATGTATTTGGTCTAACTTTACGCGAATGCACATTATTCATTTATTAATTTTTTATTTTTTTTAATTAAACTGTATAGCAATTATTTGATCCTTCAGGATTTATAATTGTTTTTTTTTCACGATTAAAACCGCGTAGAAAGTTGAGGCATTATAGTTGACGCATGCGCAGTACACATATTTTGCATACACTTATTCAACTAATACAAATAGTTAATTAAACAAAAAATGAGTAATTTCGAAAGAGAACAAACGTATTTTATATAAGAACAATCGAAAATGAATATTTACGAGTCATTAAGGATGAAAAAATATTAAAAATTGCAATCGGGGGCTAACTTGTACATATATTTTTAATAATTTTTTTAAAAGAAATAAATGCAGAACAAACAATTATTAACAGTGAACAATCATGAACAAATGATGAACAAACGAATTAATAGAAAATAAGTAGAAAACAGGAAAGAAAATTTTTTTTGAGGGGCTAACTTCAGTCACCTGCTCTCTATCATACTTCAGTCTCAAATATATTAAGTGTATAATCTATGTACTTCACTTCAGTCTTATACATAGATTATACACTTAATTTAATTGAGAGTCTTATACCTACCGTATTTATTTACGTTGTTAATATGGATTTATCAAAGTATTATAATTTTAAGAACTAAAAGTTTGTATAGTTTAACAATTTAAAGACTTTAAATAGGTAAATAACGAAATACAAGACAGATATTTATGCATTAGCTTACTATAAAATAATAATTAAAAAAAATAAAAATAACAACAGGATTAATCTGTTTTTATTCAACTATTCTGTTTTAGGCCACTATTTCGAGTATCACATTATAAATATAATAAATATGCAACCTTTATCAATGCATCCTAAGTCAGACATTCAGATTGATCTGACCCAGGTTAGAATTGACATTCTTCAAGGTATCCGTGAATGTAACAGTCGTGGTCTTGTACAAACTACGAAGTGGCTTGCAGAATTGAATTATGCTTTAAGAGACCACAAGATAACTTCCGAGGAACCTTCAGAATCTTTGAACGAGGACATAACGCCGGAGGAAAAGGATGCCTACACATTAGCAAAATGCTACTTCGACTGTCAAGAATACGATAGAGCTGCCCATTTTTTAGAGAACTGCACGAGTTCGAAATGCGTTTTTCTTCACAAATATTCTTTGTATATGTCTAGTGAGAAAAAGCGTTTAGATAATGCTACAGACCTGGGTACAGAAAATAGTGAATCGAATCAAGTTCTTTTGGACTTATTGTCTTTCTTTAAAGTAAGTCACACTTTCTTTGAAGCTAATTAAGATATTTTGATGATGTGTTATTTAAACAGAAACATTGTACATTTTCAGACCAACTCCAATAACCTCGATGGTTACTTGTTGTATCTAGAAGGTGTTGTACTTAAAAAACTAGATCTAAGAAGTCAAGCTGTTACAGTACTGCAAGCTTCTGTTCAAGCAGCACCTACATTATGGGCAGCCTGGATAGAGTTGGCAGGCTTGGCCAATGAATATGAGGCACTAGATTCATTACAACTACCAAAACATTGGATGATGTACTTTTTTGCAGCTCATGCATTTGTGGAACTGAAGCTATCAGAACAAGCTTTGGAAGCTTACATGGTGTTGGCTGCAGCAGGATTTGAGAAGAGTACATATATAACAGCACAAATGGCTATAGCGCATCATGACAGAAGAGGTATAAGATAATAAATCATCCTTAGGTTTACTATTTATAATAGATAATTTATTGTCTTTGGTTTTAATAGCTCAAGGAGGATGAGAGTCTGCTGTTGGCTATTTGAAGTAAAATACATTATAATAAGGTTTTTTTTATTATTAATATAAACTGTTAGGATTTAGATTCACGTGTTCGTGACATTTCTATTGCAGATGTGGATTCTTCCCTTGCTTTGTTCAGGTTATTGTACGAAAATGATCCATATCGACTAGACAACTGGGATGTTTACTCTCATTTGTTATATTTGAAGGAAAAAAGAATGGAACTTGCAAATTTGGCACAAAGGGCAGTCTCCATTGACAAATACAGAGTAGAAACGTGTTGTGTTATAGGTAAATGTTTATAATTATATTTCGATTTAAGCTACGATATGCTATATGCTCTATATATTTTACTACTATAATGTACACTCAAGGACAGCCGAAGTAATTAAATCAGGTTATTAATAGAAAGTTATATTATTATGTGATTAAATTCCAGGTTAAGATAATACTAAGGTAGGACCTAATGACCTAATATTTTTTTTTTTTTTTTTTTTTTNTTAGTCTCGAGCCCCAGTAAGTGCATTTTGCGTTCCAGTCTCCACCCACGACAAAGCGATTTCCGAGACTTTGGAAGAAATCTATGAACATATCCCCCATGATTTTATGCTTTGGCGGACAGTATATTGCTGACAAGTTAAAACAACCACTTTTGTCTTCAATTAGTATTGTAGTGGCTTGAATGTGATCGGTTTTGTAGCCAGGCATTGGGTGGTGTTTAATGTCCTAATATAGTCTAGATATTGTTTAACCCCAACCCTGATTTATAACCTGGGTTTGTATATAATTCAAAGGCTGTAATTTAGAAGAGAGTTTACATCAAGTACTAAACAAAGCTGATGGAATTTGTCGATTAGATGGATATGCAATATTGGAATATCATGTATCTTGAATCTTGTAAGACAGATAGATCTCAATATGACCAGAGCCGATACCTCTTTCCGGTGAAGAGAGGATTCTTGCCAGCCCAGTTCTTTCAGGGAGTTAATCAGTTCTTTTAGTTTGATAACCTCACGGTGCCAAGACATTTTGTCCAATAATATACAACTCTGTCTTGTACTTTTATAGGACCTCTTGTGAGTCCGCGCGGGTGGGTACCACCACCCTGCCCATTACTGCCGTGAAGCAGTAATGCGTTTGAAGTAAAATAAACTTAATTTTAATGTACATACAAGTACTCTATCAAATAAATGTGTGTACATTAACATATTACAGGTAATTACTACAGTTTAAGATGTGAGCACCAAAAAGCTGTGATATACTTCCAAAGAGCTTTATCTCTAGACCCTCAGTACTTGTCTGCGTGGATCCTTATGGGGCATGAATTCATTGAACTTCAAAACTCCAATGCTGCAATACAATGTTATAGGCAAGCCATTGGTAAGTATTTAACAATTACAAAATTCAACCACTAATAATCAATACTTTGCCTCCTAATTCTATTGGTAAAGCTGGCATGTTTGGAAGCCACCTTTAAGTGTGTCTACTGCAATATTATATATTGCTATCTAAAAGCTAAGACAGCTGTTTTACAATAATCTTTCAATAATCTTTTACAATAATCTTAATCAACCTTTTACTGGTGGTAGGACCTCTTGTGAGTCCGCACGGGTAGGTACCACCGCCCCGCCTATTTCTGCCGTGAAGCAGTAATGCGTTTCGGTTTGAGGGGTGGGGCAGCCGTTGTAACTATACTGAGACCTTAGAACTTATATCTCAAGGTGGGTGGCGCATTTACGTTGTAGATGTCTATGGGCTCCAGTAACCACTTAATATCAGGTGGGCTGTGAGATCGTCCACCCATGTAAGCAATAAAAAAAAAAAAACTAAAGTATTCTTCCTTATGTCGCAATCTGGTACCAGTTACGATAATTGGATAATACCCAATGGATTGTGAGCCCGTATAAATGCAATACAATAATAATATAACCTGAAGGATCTCATAAAGTCAATCTAATGTATGATTTATAAATAAATTTGAAAACTTTGCATTTAAAAGTCACAAACTTACAATGAAATTTATCATTTTTAGATGTAAACCGAAATGATTATAGAGCATGGAACGGTCTAGGACAAGCATATGAAATACTAGGGTTGAATAGTTACTGTATTTACTATTACTCTAGAGCCGCTCAACTGAAACCTGATGATTCAAGGATGTTGGTGTCTCTCGGTGAAGCATATGAGAAAATGGAAAAAATACCTAATGCATTGAAATGTTATTACAAAGCACATAGTACAGGCGATATTGAAGGCATGGCTTTATTCAAATTAGCCAAGTATGTGTTATGTTTTTGGTATTTTGATAAAACCCCGACATATATTTATGGGAGGATCCCATATTCGATTTGGGCCATTAAAACAGTTGATTCCTTCACACAAACATGATTTTAATACCGTCATTATTAGAGCAAAGTAAATATACACTTCTTTCGTCTTCCGATTTACATTTCGTCTGTGCACCGTTGCATCGGGTAAATAGCTGCATTGCTCTTCTCGTCTAAAAAAAAATGATATGTCATACATTGATTCGCCGTCTTACTTTCTAACGCGCGCGCAATAAAGAAACGAATCTAAAATGGCGGCGGCGATCATGCGCTCTTACTCTAAACTGTTGCTGTCTTTAGTCGCACACGGCGCGTACTGCACAAAAAAAATTATTAGTTCTGACTTTGTTGTTGAGTTTGAGTTTTTTCACTTTCGAGTTGTGCGACTTAGATGACGGCAGCAAAAGTGTCTACGCAAGTTGCATTCCAGATGAGACACCTCCCCTTCTGCCAGGGCATAAAGTAAAGTATATTCTCATTTGTTTTTTTATATTTTTTTACAATAAACAACTTTCTTTTTATTTGTTGACCCTACCATCTGTCAGTGCGTATACATAGACACCATTTTCGATTCGTTTCTTTATTGGCGCGGCTTATACTTACCTCTACCTGCCATATTTTGCCAACTAAATATTATATTCGAATCGTAAGACTCGTGTTATTTTATTTGTACATTTATAGGTTGTACGAAAGGTCGAACATGCCAAACAGTGCTGCGGCTGCGTACACAGCGGCGTGCCAGGATCCCGCGAACTCCGGCAGCAAGGAACTGCCGGCGGCGCAACGGTACCTAGCGCAGTACTACCTCAGGTTCTCACTGCTCGATCACGCGGCACATTACGCCTATAAATGTTTGGAACATGAGAGTGTAAGTTGTGTAATTTAAGCTTGATTTCGTGTAAATTGTATTGTCTTACGTCTAGGGTTGCCTTCCCGGGTCGTCCCGTATTTTAGGGTTAGTTTAAAATGTTCCGGCGGGACTGGCTCTGTCCCGTATTCGAACCGTACGATTATAATTGTATTGATTTTTATAAATATGTTAAGACTGACTTGCTCCTCGGAGAAATATCAAAAAAAAAATTAATAAAATAAGTAAAACAAAATAAGTCACTATATAATTTTGTTTGTTATTTGTCCCGAGTAAAAAACTAAATTCCCATATTTTTTTGCTTATTTAAGCATTTGCCCCTTATAGGCTGAAAAAAAATCTGGCAACCCTAGTTACGTCAAAACCTATAATTAAGTGATCGGATATTAATGATTATTTTTATTTATTTAAAAGCTGGTCATTTTCGTTTGTCCCCTTTAAATTTTATCCAGATCTGACTTGTAGTTTTTTTTATTTAATCTTCGACTTCCTTGTATACTTATAGATATCCTTTGATTTTGACTACATTGATGTGCTCATTTTATCGTGTTGAAGACTGTTTTATTTGTTGTTAAAATTTTGTATCATGTCTCTGTCTATTTAGATTTATGTAGAATATTACTGTTATATGGTGATGATATAATGAACTGTACCGTACTGTTCCATATCTTGTCTTTCATATTACCTTGATTTAAATGTACCGACTGTATGCTTAAAACAATAGAGCAGTATATTGTATCAACAAGATTATCTAAATGTATTGACAGACATGACTTGGCACTAACATTAATTAAAGTTGACGTAACAGCCGTTGTAACTATACTGAGACCTTAGAACTCATATCTCAAGGTGGGTGGCGGCATTTACGTCTATGGACTCCAGTAACCACTTAACACCAGGTGGGGTGTGAACTCGTCCACCCATAAGGCTATGCAATAAAAAATAAACGTATTTGTAAAATAATAATAACCGGACATGAAATTTAATGTTTTCCTCAGACTAAAGAAGCAGGAAAGAACATATTAAAAATGGTTTCCGAAAAACGGTTAGCAGCGTCTTCGTCCCAGTCGTCAGATTTACCTGAAGACTTACCAGAGGCAATCAAGAATGTGTCAACGGTGTCCATAACACAGGACATTCCCAAAACACCGCTACCTAGTCCCAATGTTACTCCAGAGAACTTCTCGACCCCGGTTTTCACGCGAAAAAACAGTAAATATAAACTATAAATCTAAGAAAAATAGCCGTCTTAAAAACAAGAAAACCTTCGAATGTCTGCAATTTGGAAACTAACATGGATTCAAATTCTATAGTTTACCGTATGACAAACGGTTATTTATTTATTTGGGAAACAAACAGTACAATACAAACATATAATACTTAAAAAAATATAGCTAAAACAATAACCATATATATTTCCACAATCAAAATCACATATAAATAGAAAGTGAACAGAGAAGAGAAATTTAGAAATTTAAATTACAAAAAAACAATGCAACACTACGCATATATTATTTTATACATCAACTTACACTATAAAACAATACTCATCGAACTAAATCACCTTATAAATATTTTAAAATAGCTTTTCTATACTCGAATTTTCTACACATACTCGTAATATAACTACTGGTTCATCTTCTTTTAAATTATTTGAACCATTTTTTAATCCTATTTTCTTTTTCAGAGCTTTGATCTTCCCTAGAATCAGGGTGTAGAAGAAACCCTTAAAATGAGATAAAATATGATCTCGACTTTGGTGATTCGTGATTGGGTGTTTCGTTCAAAAAAAACAATAACAAAAATTGTAAATACTATATGCAATTAAAGTGTGAATAAAGTTCTGATCTGAAGTTAGTTAATATTTTGTTATGATTGTGCGTTTTGTTTTCAAAAAAGATCAACCATCGTATCTACTATCCAGCCAGGATAGGCAGCGTTCGAGAAACCGCCGCAACATCTTTTAATCTCAAATACCGCAGCGTTTCATGACGAAAGTATATGACCAGTGATGATGATGACATACGGCTTTGAGACGTTATTGCTGAGAATGAACCGTATTAGTAGGGTGAAAAAGACAATCGAAGAGCAATTGAGAGAGCGATGCTCGGACCTTCCGTGCTAAATTGAATCAGGAATGAGGATATTCATAGTAGAATAAAGTTGAGGGTTGCGCAGGGCCGGACATTATAGTGATACTTGCGGGGGCCCTATGTCTAGCAGTGGACGTCTGTAGGCTAATAGATTAAATCTCAAATGACGAATTGTAAATTAAAATGCATCGTGTTTTTTGTCAATATTAGAACATATTAATTAAATATTTAGCCCAAGAGCCCGCGACAGCCAGACCTTCGTTATTTTATAAAAGCTGAAAGTTTCTCTGTGTATGTCTCCAACACAGGTAAGAACGACTCGCGATTATAGAGTTTCGATTGTGGTTACTTGGGCAGGTAACAGGCAGTAAAGGTATATAAAATAGTACCTTAAATTCGTTAAAGTATAAAGGTTTTTTTTTTTATATTTACTCCAGAATATCTTTAGAAATCATGATATCCGTTGCCGGACACTTTTTCCAGTTGTTACCCCCTGCCAGACACCCTTAAACTTTAATAAATTTTAATTATACTTTCGTTATACTATAAAAGCTAAATTTTATATATGTTACTTAGGGACTTATAAAAATATGTTACCCCAAGAGCCGGACAGTTTTAATGGTTCTTACATCTTGCCAGACACATTGAGAGCCCGCTGTAGGTGCGAGCGCGAGGTAGCAACTGTTCAAGCGGGTGTGAGCGAGATAGAGTGCTTAGTCTATTGTGATCTTTTAAGATATCCAATAAAAAAATTATTTTATTACGTTCATAGCAATATTATAGAAAATAAAAAAGGTTATTTTAATATTATAAAGTACAAACAAAATATTACATGTCAAAGAAAAATATTTAATCGTTCTTATAATTTTCCTCATTGTCGTCGATATTGAACTATCGAGTCGGCCTGAGGGGCCTACGAGGGGGGGCATAGCTACTACCGTATCCGATTTGAGAGTACGAGCTAAGCGGTAGTAAGACCTTTGAGAGGGCGCGAGTCCTTCTAAGAAATCAGACCATCTGGCATCTCGGACTTCGGCGATGCGAGACTTTACGTCGCGTTGTAGGGCACGCATTCGAGTACGATTTTCCACTGTAGGATACCTATCGTAGGCACGGATCGAAGCGTTCTTAGCTCTAAGGAGTTCCCTAATATCGTCGGGCAATTTGAAGCGGTGAAGGAAGTCCTCCGCCACAACTTGCTTCGATGACCTATCTAATGTCGAGGTGATGTGTGACGTTACGATGTCTATGGCTTCAGCGGTATCCTGAGGAGACGGGGTAGAGTCCGGGCTAAACGGGAGCGATGGTGGATCAGATTCAGCCAGGCTAATGCCCAGCGTGTGCCAATCCACCACAGTCCTCGTGACGGGAACGGAATCGGGAGCGCGACCGAGCTTCATAATGACGGGGCGGTGGTCTGAATCTAACTCTAAAACTACTTCGATCGAGTGTAAGCGCAGAGTTACGTTTTTTAATAACGCTATGTCGAGTATATCCGGGCGATGCGCGATATTTAGCGGGTAGTGAGTCGGGGTTAGCGGAGCGATGATATCGAAGGCGAGATCATCGACTAACGCGTCGAGCCGCCTGCCATTAGGGGTTGTGGTGTGTGAGTTCCACCTGATGTGTTTACAATTTAGGTCGCCCGCCAGAATGACAGAGCTTCCCATGCCGAGTAGCGCCTCGATATCACTGCTTAGAACGGATAAATCCTATAAACGACAGCTGATGTGCAGTAAAAGATCACAATAGACTAAGCACTCTATCTCGCTCACACCCGCTTGAACAGTTGCTACCTCGCGCTCGCACCTACAGCGGGCTCTCAATGTGTCTGGCAAGATGTAAGAACCATTAAAACTGTCCGGCTATTGGGGTAACATATTTTTATAAGTCCCTAAGTAACATATATAAAATTTAGCTTTTATAGTATAACGAAAGTATAATTAAAATTTATTAAAGTTTAGGGGTGTCTGGCAGGGGGTAACAACTGGAAAAAGTGTCCGGCAACGGATATCATGATTTCTAAAGATATTCTGGAGTAAATATTAAAAAAAAAAACCTTTATACTTTAACGAATTTAAGGTACTATTTTATATACCTTTACTGCCTGTTACCTGCCCAAGTAACCACAATCGAAACTCTATAATCGCGAGTCGTTCTTACCTGTGTTGGAGACATACACAGAGAAACTTTCAGCTTTTATAAAATAACGAAGGTCTGGCTGTCGCGGGCTCTTGGGCTAAATATTTAATTAATATGTTCTAATATTGACAAAAAACACGATGCATTTTAATTTACAATTCGTCATTTGAGATTTCAATAAATTATAAACGAAATTTAAGAATTAGTTTGCCAAAGAAGTTTCACTTCTGACATGTGTACTTTGTACGCACGCACTTTTCTTTTTTTTATAAACTTCATTTTCATAGTTTGCCTTTTCCAACCAATAAACATGTAAGGAAAAATGCGATCTTTTTTTTATTGCATAGATGGGTGGACGAGTTCACAGCCCACCTGGTGTTAAGTGATTACTGGGGCCCCATAGACATTTACGACGCAAAATGCGCCACCCACCTTGAGATATCAGTTCTAAGGTCTCAGTATAGATACAACTAGATATGTGTCGTTCGTTCAATTTTAGAGATTCAGATCAGTACTGACCTGTTGACAAAATGATCCGGTTCGTACAACCCGTTCAGTCGAACGAACGACTAAGCGAGACGGGCGCGGGGCGAGACGCGGCAACCCGAAATTACCCGAATGACCGTCGTACTCGTATGGTTCTTTTCTTCTGATTCGTAGGTTTTGTGTTAAACGAGTCGATTTAGTGAACGACTCATATTTTTTGAAGTGACCCTATCGTTCGCGTGGAATTTGAGACCCGGGTCGTTTGACTCGTTCGTTCGCGAACGACACGTATCTAGATACAACAGCTGTCTCACCCTTCAAACCGAAACGCATTACTGCTTCACGGTAGAAATAGGCAGAGTCGAAGTCGAAGTCGTCGTGGCCTAAAAGATAAGACGTCCGGTGCATTCGTGTTGAAGCGATGCACCGGTGTTCGGTGAAGGAATAACATCATGTAATAAAAGTGAAACCCGCAAAATTATAATTTGCGTAATTACTGGTGGTAGGACCTGTTGTGAGTCCGCGCAGGTAGGTACCACCACCCTGCCTATTTCTGCCATGAAGCAGTAATGCGTTTCGCTTTGAAGAGTGGGGCAGCCGTTGTAACTATACTGAGACCTTACAACTTATATCTCAAGGTGGGTGGCGCATTTACATTGTAGATGTCTATGGGCTCCAGTAACCACTTAACACCAGGTGGACTGTGAGCTCGTCCACCCATCTAAGCAATAAAAAAAAAGAGTGGCGGTACCTACCCGCGCGGACTCACAAGAGGTCCTACCACCAGTATTTGTTTCAGTTTAATTAAAATTATTTGCACAGTTCAATGTTGCATAACACTTTAATGTTTTCGTTTTCACGAATAAATATGTATGATCTGTTTTATTCGTCGTCATTTGAATATTGTGCTAATTACATAACATCTAATTTTCTATAAAAATATTTATTGACATTTATTTTTTCGACTGTTGTGACTATTAATAGGACACGTAACAAAGTTGAAAAAATTCACTCTCATTCACACATTACTTAGCATACATAGTCTTAAAAAACTTTCGAGTTTCACAATAAATAGCTAGTCTGAGCTAGAGCTGGCCTCACTAGAGCCAATAGTAACGCGGCAAGCAAGAACGAAGACAGCTGTCGATATGCGCTCTCTCTCACACTACAGCTTGTCTATAGCAGTACAGGCCCGTACCCATCCATTATTTGTTTGATCACCTGGCAGGTAGAAAGCCCTACCGAAATGATCTGTCTTTTTGGGAATCTTATTTTTTAGCTATAAATAACACTCCATTAAAATTTCAAGCTGCCTCAAAAACATTTTTTATAATTTTTTGCAAAAATTTTTTGCACGCGTCTGGTAATGTTACAACCCCGATTAAATTGTCTGGCTTATTTTTTTTTCGTATTTATTAAGTTTTACACTGCAACATATATAAATTGCGTATTGCCTCAAATATATTTTTGGGGAAAAAAAATTAATATTTTTAAAAATGTAGGGGTTGATTTAGCCCCGCTACTCACCAGCCAGGTCTGCAATTCCGTGTTGGAATATAATAGGAGAGGTATGTGACAAGTTTTCAGCTTGCCCCAAATACCTACCCAAAAATTGGTACCAGCTCTCGGACTATGAGATTTTATCGCAACGTTGGCAATGATTTGTGACTACCGTACTCTCTAATATATCTAATAGGTTTTAAAATTTAATTTGAGATTACTACCTAACATATTTTTTATTTTTGTTTGGAAAGGCATTAACAAAAATAAAAAGAAGATTTCATTAAAAAGAGCATCTACATCTAACGAGACTGCGACTAAATAGCCTCGACAGGGGCATATTAGAATATTTGTTTTCTTCGAAAACGCTTTATCATTTATGGGCAGAATGAGGATACCAGATTTATTTTTGCGGGTTTGATTTTTATTACACGATGTTATTCCTTCACTTCGAAGTCAATCAAGTAGGTACGTATTTCATTAGAAAAATTGGTACCCGCCTGGGATTCAAACACCGGTGCATCACTCAACACGAATGCACCGGACGTCTTTATCCTTTAGGTCACGACGACTTCAAATCGATTTCTTGTCTGTGCACGATTCGAATGAAGCAAGAAACAGTTAATATACCGATAATCCCCTGAGTTTCAGAGTGGTTTCAGACTCCGATCCGGTGGTAGATTCTGCGTAGCACTGCTCTTACTTCGGCTAGTGTTAGCAAACTAAATCAGGTCGAGTCCCATGAACGCACCCACCAGTCAGAGCGTAGCTGGAATGGCCCCTTAGGCTACCAACGAATAGGTAGGGAATAATATATAAATATACATATATACCAATTATAGAACTAAAAGACAGGTTTGTTAGAAAATTTAATAGTGATTTTTCATTGTAAAATTAACAGATCTTAGTGAACAAATAGAATAAAAAATAATTACATTACACAGTCATTAAATAAATAATAGAGTGAATTCATTAGAAATACAAATAATAATCAATTGAATTCAAAAAAATAAAACTGGTTACAATCACAGAAGAAACAAAATTTGAGAGCTCATTAACTAATTTTCTAATTAGAGTTATGTTAACAATACAAGAAAAACGATCGAACCCTGACAAGGAAAAAATTCAGTACATTTTGTCAAGCAATAAAAGTAATAAATAATTGTTTGATTAAATTAGTCCAATTCACGTTGCAACAATCTAACTGATCTTTCCGTCAGTAGTTTAACATTTCAGTTAGTCAACACATCGTGCTGATTAATTAAATTAGAGCCTCTCGCATCGTTAACACTCTTTCGAAAAGATTGTTTTAACAACATTAAATAACTGTCATTACCTAGACCTTTATCTAAATATAAAATAGAGCCTGAATGTTAGAGAGTACGTTAAATTGACTGAACACGTTTGTTGACTGTAGCAATCATTACAACATTAATAACAATAACAAAGGTGCATAATTCGTGCCGTATTCGTTAATCTCGAAACTTAACTGTGGAATAAGGCCGAAGCAAAGTGATGACGTTATGTTATAGCAAAACAGGAGATGACTCACCTACATTAAACGAACAGATTATAAGAATGTCCAAACATGATTTAGCGATGAATTAGCTGGTATACAGATTTAATTAAAAATTTTGCTAGTCGCTTAAATCGATCCTTTATTTTACATTTTTATACACCATTTAAATTAAATAAATCTACGACCAGGAATTTCATTTACTATTTCTGTACAGTCTTCTCATTTTTTATTTGTAAATATTTTATCATACCTAACTTTCAAAATAGTAAATATATAAAAATATATCAATTTCATAACACTTGCAGAATATTATAAGGCATATTATGGTGAGGCACTGAGTTAACATTTAAGCATAGTGATACTATTTAAAAATACCGTTAGAATGCGGTCACAGAACTACTCATTCGTCAAAAGTATTGTTACATTCACTAAATTTAATATAAATCTAAATTTGTAGCTTAATTTGTGCTTTTTGTTACGTAATTTTGTTCATTGATGTCTTAGTTGATTTAAGACTTCCTTAGACCACCCATCAAAGAAATGGATTCTTAGAATTTATGAAGCCGCCGTTGTTTGTCGCAGGCTGAAATGAGTTTCGAAATACAATTTGTGACAACAATGACCTCATGCGAATGGTCCGTTTAATGAATCATGGAATTATCTTGCGGAATCTCTCGCAGCGAACTAACAAAACTCTCATTTGTAGCGCATAAATGTTTAATGCGAAGCTTTATCATAATGCGTTTCTGTGTTTCTCTAGGTCTTTATGGGATCAAAAAGTAACTGAACTCGCAGTTTGGTGAAAATTCCGATGCTATTCCAGACAATTTCGTTAAGCCTTTTAGCCTGACTAGAAACCAGAACCCTTTTCAGCAAAAGAATCATCAAGCAAGAACAACAAAAAGGTGATTGGAAAAGAAAACGCTTATTATATCTATAAGCTTCTGCCTTCTAATCTAAGGCCCGCGATCTATTTTGAAAAAGAGTGTGTACAACTAGTCAGCCATTTTTATCACGAGGCACGATGCGTGTCGGTTTTGCAATTATTTATTTCAATTATTATTCATGTTTCAAAGCGTAAAGCGGTAACCTCACGTCATCATGTGGTAAATAGAATGAGAATAGAGAAGCCAAAAATATTATATGCATGGTGTGTACATGCGTTTCAGTTTGAATGTTGGGACAGCCATTTTTCAATACAATTTGGCCATGGACCTCATTACTCAAGGTGAATGGTAGGATTCTTGTTAAAATATCTCTGGGTTCCGGTAACCTCTTCAGATTAGGTGGCGTGTAGGGCGTAGGCGTAGGTAGGGCGTGAGCTCCTTCTCCCATCTGTACAATATGATTTTGTACCCTTATACTTCACATAAATAATTTTGCTGCACATAAAGAAACAGAATGGATGAAATAAAATGGTTTTGTTTTTTATCCTTGGAATGTGTAGACCTAAAAAAGTGCTACAACATCCAAAGCTAAATTTATAAATAGCAAACCATTGTTTACAAATGTGATTTGCATGATCTTCCTAGAGTTCTGAACATGACCAAACAATCAGTACAAACTGAGACTTATCATTATATATTATAATACAAACACACACACACACACACACACACATTCATAAAATCGAGTCTGTGTACAGTAGTACAGTTATATCTAGTTATTCTGTTCATATGATAAGTTAGTTTCCTGTTTGAGAGCTGCCAACAACATTTTTAGGATATATTAATTCAAGAGTTCAATTTGTTTTATTTTATTTTGTACTAAAATTTGTGTTTTTTTTATTATTTATCACTATGTTTTATGATACCATGTACCCATTATAAATGCTAGTGTTTTATTATTGTTTAAAAAATATTAGGATTTATTGTATAATTCAAAAAGAAATCAAATGTGCAATGTTATTTCAATATAAGCATCTATAATCTAAGCAAAAATGTTGGCTTAGTGGGTTCATTTCATGATCATGCCTTAAACATAGATGTCAGTGTTCCTTTAAGACCACTCATTACACTAATTGTTTGATTATTTATTATGTTACATAGAGTATAACTAAAAATGTGAAATAAAATGATTTTTTACTTCTATTCTGTGTAATGTTAGTTAACATACCATAAATGGGTTGGCTGGGACTGGTGCAGCAGGTATACTCCATCCTTCATTGAAGAATGGGTTTTTGTTGGCAAAAACATCATGTGTTGAAGGACTTTGAAATGGATTCTTGTTGCTAATACCATTACTTTCTTCTGTAACATACAAAATACATTTATCCTCAGATATCTCAAAAAAGACAATTATTAATCTAAATAATTACCTAATTGTTTCATATTTTGTTGCCTTAATGCTGAATCTAAAACAGCCAATGCCGCATAACGATCATCTATAACAAAATTAAAATTTATAGTTTTATATATTGTTATTTAATAAATTATTTATTAAAAATACATCATGAATTTGAAGCACTTACTTCCTGTTGATGAGGATGTATTGAAAATATTATTCAATGTTGGTGTGGCTGTAGATGACTGACTTACAAAATTATTATTCATATTATTGTTATACTGACTACTGTTGTAAATATTCGCAGTAGAAAAATCAACAGGGAAACTGAAACATAAAAGTAGATTTATAAAATATTCCATAATCACCTGGACCTATTCTAATTTGGAGTTACACAATTCAAAGTATAATTATAATTTTGTTACAGTTTAATAGCCAACTTTTTAATTTTTTTTATTGCTTAGATACGTGGACAAGCTCACGGCCCACTTGGTGTTAAGTGGTTACTGGAGCCCATAATGCACCACCCACCTTGAGATATAAGTTCTAAGATCTCAATATAGTTACAACGGCTACCTTACCCTTTAGACCAAAATGCATTACTGCTTCACGGCAGAAATAGGCAGGGCAGTGCTACCTATCCACGCGAACTCACAAGAGGTCCTACCACCAGTAAAAAACAGACTGCTTGTTGCTGATCATCTAAGGATAGCGGGCCAAGATTTGACCAATTAGAATAAGAAATAACAAGCAGATAAGTAGTACTAGTAGCTGTATTCACAAACCCATATTTGAAGTATATAATTATTTAAATCCATTAATAAATTTAAAATTTATATGTGGCACTTACTCAGGTACCGGAGGTGCGACTGTAGCAGTTGGAGCCGCAACTGTGAGCGCACTTGCAGAATTAAGGAGGGGCTGCCCACTACTCACTGGCCGTGATATTCTCTGACTAACATCAGTTCCAGTTGTTGGAAGTAAATTATTCACTAATTTCGCCGTTTGAATTGCATTCTTATTGGATGCATTTTTCGAAGATTGCGGCGAAATCGATATCAGAGGTGTTACAGATGCTGCTACATTTCCAGCCTTGGCTTTTGACTTATAATTCTTAGTTGATACATTTCCATTGACTACTGAATTGTTTGTTGGCGCATCTAAATAATAACGTTTCTTCTCATATTTATCCAACATAAAATCTCTAACGCTCTGCTCATCAGTAAAATTTATACTTTCACCGTCGTAAAGTCCTAGCCAAACAAGTCTACAGTAGTCGTTCCCTCTTGATTTAATAAACTCTATCTCCTCAGGGGTAAAAGTAGCCATTGAAATTGATTTCACGCGATGTGGGGGCGTAAGGCCTCGTCTGGAATACACTCTATCATGTAATGTAATTCGCAAACAAAGCAACAACACGCAAAAACAATACTTACAGCATTCCTGAACATTTTGAACAAACAAATGATCCTATTGTTGTATTCACATAAGTAGGTCCTCTTTGGTTACAGTCTAAGCAATATTTGTTTCCATTTAGAGAAATTAGTTCACGTAAGATTTCTAAATTTTTATCGTCTTGCTTTCGGCGGTTCGCAGCCATTTTTCTATTAATAATAAATAATTAGATAGTGTCTGACGTCTGTCTAGTAGTGTCTAGAAGTGTTTTTTTTTAAAGGGATTTTATGACCCGGCAACTAAGACCTTTAGGTATTTATAACCATTTCAATTGATATTCTTATTTTTATGAAAAATGATAATATGGAGTAAAATGAAATGAAACGAGATTAGATGATATGGGATGAAATATAATCTCAGTTAAATGGTGGCCATTTACTGAGATTTTTTCAGTGGACTTTTTGGAGGATCCCGAGAAGTTACGTCCAGCGGCTTTGTTTCATTTATCCACATTAGTGCACTTTCACAGATATTAAACAGTTAATAAACCACCGTTATTACACATTTAAACCTGAAGAAACACTAAATAGACAAAATCAAACAAATCACATAACTTCACTCCTCGCGTTCCCGCCAAAAAGTCCTTTAATAGTATGTAACACTACATAGCTAGTACACTCAACTATAACAGGGCGGACACTCCCGTAATTTGTGATATCCAAAATAGAGGAGCTTCCTTATTTGGAATGGCTCGTTAATTTTAGTGCTACTTTTATTGTTGCACAATTAAAACAGTTTCAGCGCCAAAATCGTTTTTGTGTCCTCGAGACTAAAATTAACTATAGATAGGTACGATTATACTATAATCCAATTACGAAGTCCCTATTGACACTTCTGAGAACGTAACTCTTCACGTTTCAAATTGAAATATTAATCATTTTTTGCTCATGGTCGTACATCATCGTTTAAAAAATAATTAATTTAATTAATTATTTTTTTAATTAATTTAATTAATTCACACACACAATCAACATATTGTTTTTAGACATCGTGCTCAATATAATTAAATCTTTAAAAGATAATAATATTTTACTGCAGTTTTACGTTTACGTTCAATAGTTTTATTTTTACTTTTTCACATTGTAGTCACGTGTTGCGTCCACATCATGATGACGACCCGCAATTTTGTTCATTTTTTTAATTCACTTTTTTTTTATTGCTTAGATGGGTGGACGAGCTCACAGTCCACCTGGTGTTAAGTGGTTACTTGAGCCCATAGACATCTACAACGTAAATGTTCCACCTACCTTGAGATATAAGTTCTAAGGTCTTAAGTATAGTTACGACGCTTTTTTTTTTCTTTTTCAAACCGAAACTCATTACTAGGCAGGGTGGTGGTACCTATCCGTGCGGACTCACAAGAGGTCCTACCACCAGTACGAGTGCAGAAGCCAGTTTAGTTGATTTTGTGTTGTTTTTATTTCGTTCATGCTATTGTAGATATAACTGTTTGATAATTATTTCGTTGTTATTAAGTTTTGATCACTAAAAGAACAGTGTTGTGCAGTCAAACGCGAGAGTTTGTAGTACGCCTACAAGATTACTTTGAAAGAGAGTATCAGAATGGTGGTCCATTGATGTCACTTTCACAAATGACGAACCCGAGTAAGTGCAGCTCTTGGTATTTAGTCGAAAAACTGTTTCCCGAATAAGTAAGGAAAAACATGGTAAAGATTTAACGGAAGATAAATTAAAATCGCCAATTAAGAAAAAAGTTAGAAGATCAATGGTTACACGTATCAGCAACTTTGATAACGACGCCATTATAAACCATATCTATGGCTACTATAGTAGGAACGAAGTGCAGACTCTGATTAAATTGTCAAATACTTTACGAGAATCTGGACTATTTCACGGTAGTAGAATTTCTTTGTGGCGAGTTTTAAAAAAGTTAGCTTTTCATAAAGTGTAATAAAATGCGGATTTTGATGGAATGTAGAGATATAGCTTTAGCCAGATGTAATTTTCTACGATCAGCAAAGTCCATTATCCTTTGGAATAATGTTATATTTCTAGATGAGACGTGTCTAAATGCTAAACACACAGTCGGCAGGATAAGGACAGACGACACTCCTCACTCCTCCACAAAAGTACCTAGTGGCAAATGCGAATGCTTATTTATTTGTCATGCGGGTTTCATGAAGGAATTTCTTCCGAACTGCCTCTTGACGTTTAAATCTAAGAAAACTGTGGAATACCACGAAGAGATGAATTTTGTTAAATATATAAGGAACGGTTACAGGTTAAGGAAGGTACAAACCTTATTGACCAATTTAAATGAGCCATCGACGATCATCATGGATAATGCACCGTATCATTCAGTAAAAATATGTAAGCCTCCAACTTCTAGTAGCACAAAAGCGGCTCGTAAAAATACCAGCCCACCGTTTACTGCAAACAAAATGCTGTCATTGTTGCAAGAAGCTTGTGAAGTTTAAGCAAAAATATGTGATATCCCTAGGTTTTCAAGGTGGGTGGTGCATATATAGATGTCTATGGGCTCCAGTAACCACTTAACACCAGGTGGGCTGTGAGCTCGTCCACACATCTTAGCAATAAAAAAATACTTAACTATGTTATATTTAGTTGGGAAATGATCCCCGACAGATTTTTCCTGTAAGTTTTGAGGCAATTAGAAAAAACATAATAATATATAAAACGCTTATAAAAACATACATATATGTTGTAAATGAATCAAGATGGAGAAAAGTTGTTCAGATGAGACAGCATCGTGTTTGATGTGATAAAATTAAATAACCTCCCACTTCCCAGTAAGATGACGGCCAATTACTTTATTTAATGTACTTACTTTAATTACTTTATTAATGATGTGCATGTAACATTTCTAATAGTTTTTTTTTCACAGTACTTAATTATCAACGTCGATCATTTAATAGTGATGTTACACACGAAATGTATTAACAAAGCAAGGAGGGCAGGCATAATCAAAGGTAATACAATTTTAGGACGAGTACATAATCGATTTGTTTTTGGAAAAAATATTCTTAATGCCCTAAAAATAAGAGTTAAAAATGTTTGTATTCCACGTGTGCGGTTTTATAAATTTTATGAAAATATGGATATTTCAAGATATATGGATATTGAAAACAGGAAAGGCGGTCATATGTGTTTGTAGCTGTTAGTCAAGTATGAAAGGTTTCTTACTTTAAGATTTGATTTAAGAGAACGATGTCCGGTGCTTGAGGTACCTAAAAGCACCGTTAGTGGATCGGGAGGATCCGAAATGACGTGATGAGAAAACGAGCAGTCGTTTTTACCTTAAAAAAATCTGTTTACGAGCGTCGGACACTAGATGGCTTGTTATTAGTTTCTCATTACTCCTATAGATGGCAGTAATTTAATTTAATACCTATCTTTTAGATATCTTATTTATAATGAAGGATTTTACAAAAAAGTATGTTTCTTTAAACAATTTAAAATTTATATAAATGATGAATGGGTCGTTTCTCTTATACCAGGACTCCCCATTAGAGAATTTGATTTAAGGATGAAAAATAAAGAAAACTACTCTACTACATACCACAAAAGAAGTTTCACTTCTTTCACGTGCATCAAGTTGCAAGCGCACCATTTATTTATAACAAACAGTACCACGTAAACTATCATAATTGCAATCTGTCAATGAAAGTTTGAGAAATATTAACTGGAGATATATGTAGTACAAAGAACAATGGCAATTTTTTACCTGAATGTTTTAAAAGGCGTCTTAGATTAAGACATAAACGAAACTTCATCATTTTATTTGCTCGTTTTTTATACGATGTTAGATTTACGTGGCAAAGCCACGAAAAAATGTTAATTTAATAAGCTTTTAATTCGATTTTTGTGTACTTCCGGTTTAATACATTTGTAAAGGATGGCATTTNGGCAATTTTTTACCTGAATGTTTTAAAAGGCGTCTTAGATTAAGACATAAACGAAACTTCATCATTTTATTTGCTCGTTTTTTATACGATGTTAGATTTACGTGGCAAAGCCACGAAAAAATGTTAATTTAATAAGCTTTTAATTCGATTTTTGTGTACTTCCGGTTTAATACATTTGTAAAGGATGGCATTTATACTATTGGCACAAAAAGCAATATTTTTTATAATGAATATTCATAAAGTATTTAAAATGAAAATGATAATATTAATTATCCTTTATTACAATTAGTACTTAATCAAATAACTAAATATTATGTATTAATAATGGCAGCACTGCAGATGACAATGATTTTAACAGTATGAGAACTGACATAATGCGCATGACTATGCCCGTCCATAAGACTCGTGAGTGGAAGAGAGAGCGAAATATTCGCTTCACCGCTCCGATTTTTTATGACCCAAACTGCACGGCAAAATAATTCTACTATAATAAATTAGCATTGTAAGCCTTCGTTTGTCGCAAATATGTGACGAATTCGTTCAAAATGTTAAAAGTACCTATCTCTGACACACATTTACAAAGAAGAAAGAACAAACTATATAATATGCATATGTACCTAGGTAGCTCTGCAATTGCTAAGAGTACTTACTCGAGTACTATTAAGGTGTATCCTTGTTTCATCTATGATAATGAAATAAAAAATGTTATTTAAACATATCGTTTACCTATTTTTTCAATTTGTTATAGTCCGTGCCTACAAAAATCAGAGACATCTCTTATTGATAGATAACCTCAAATTATAAAGTAAACACGTTGATATCTTTTTTTTGTGACTTCTAATACCAAAAATATTTCTGATTAAGCTTAAGCTATGTTATTCCTATCGTTTTAGTATTTTTTTGTTTCAAGACGCCTCAAATAGATATTAGGTAAAATGTTGTATAGAAAGCTGCCATTGTTCTTTAGTGAAGTAAGTTACTAAAAATAATTCAACTTGGACAGCTGGACAGGAGAGCAAACGTGACCCAGTCGCATTCTGATAAGAATGCTAGTGGTACTTTTGTTAAGATTTCTGTACTTAAAAAACCATGGGGAATGGGGTATTGTTGGTTGGATTATAGAATACTTATACTTAAAAGATTCCCATTCTATGCTCCAGTCACGGAATAAAGTTTTCTTAGCAATACTTAATATATCAGTCATTGTATTATAAAAAAAAATGTTATCACCGTGTAATGTAGCCTTTTTTGCCAAATCATCTGCATACTCATTTCCTTTAATGCCGACATGAGCAGGAACCCATGCTAGTTCAACAATGATATTACTGTTATGGCATCTAAGAAGGCATTCCTTTATTTTACAAATAATATGGTTATGGATGCAAGTTTTAAAAGGGTGACCGGAAATGGCCTGTAAGGCACTTAGAGAGTGAGAATTCAAAGTAAGAAATACAGCAATATGCGACTGTGGATCCGAGGAAGGTACTGTGGATCATATATTCTTCAACTGCATTCTTAACAATAATTGTGATTCCCTATATACTTTATTAAAAAACATAATCCCCTTCCCCATCAACATGAACTTCCTATTAACTTTCCCCAGTAAAAAGGTAGTCTACTCGCTTGCATCTTTCATAGACACTAATAATATAAAATTGTAGTTCCTACTAACTGTTAAATACAAAAATTGTAAAACTAAATAGGTAACTCTATTTTCAGTTCATGCCTGTAAATGTTATGTAAATGTCCTAGCATAATTATGTTGATACCTCCACTACCCGACGTTGGCAAAATTGTACTTTAATCTAAGTAACAAAAGCCAGAAAGAAAAGAAAAAAAAAATAAAAAAAAAATTCAACTTGGGGCAGGCATTTACTTTTTACATACGGTTAGAGTCTGTGCGCGTTTTGCATTTCAATTAAAACAAAATGCAAGAGGGTTTTAATTTATTTTCAAGCCTATCAATTACATGTTATTTAAGGGAAAACCATTTTTGTTGTTTTCTCTATTGATTCTTTGTGGTTCCCGTCTGATACTATGTAGTTATGTACATACTACTAGAAACCGTTACAAGATTTGATCAAAATTCATGATACTATTTTATTTTTTATTTGATTCCTGAAAAAAAATGACTTATCACAACCTTTTTCATTCTTGTTTGCTACTCGAGATCCAAATTGTAGAGCTCTTTTGGGAAACGTAGAGACTTCCATCAAACCAATATTATAAGCTACGAGTCTCAGCATTAATTTGTCGCCTAAGCCATGGCCCAAATGTTTACTTGGAAAACATCTGAAAAATGTATATTACATTTGAGTCGTCTATTATCAAAGGTGGCAATCTGTGCATTTGGACAAAAAAAAATTATTGATATGTCAATTCAGATTGATTTGAATATAATCGTCTCCTTCAAAGAATACGGTTCAAAACCTGCATTAAATAAAGGTTAATAGTTAACCTGTTATTTATCTAAGATGTCGTTCCGAAGAGTTTTGTGACTGCCAATGGAATACAAAGTNTATAATCGTCTCCTTCAAAGAATACGGTTCAAAACCTGCATTAAATAAAGGTTAATAGTTAACCTGTTATTTATCTAAGATGTCGTTCCGAAGAGTTTTGTGACTGCCAATGGAATACAAAGTCAATAATTCGTTTTTCTGATTTACCAATCATTGTCCAAAAGTCAGATTGCCGGCTTTGATAATAGTCGACTCATTTAATTTTATGCTTTTCTTACAAATAAAATACATATCATAAAAAAATCACATCCTTTACTAGGTAAACGTCTTGAAACATGTTACTATTAGAGACTTGCTCTATAAGGGTTTACTTTTAAAAACTGTAAATTTAAATAACTGCATATTTTACAGATCCTCACATATTATAATGAGACCTACTATACACCTCTCTATGCTCTGAGGAATTGTTCGAGATGATACCAGCATCTCGTTTTTACCATCGCGCCGCCCGCCACCGGAGTGGAGTCCATCCATACTACCTGGAGCCACTGCGTTCATCGGCAGTGCGTTTCCAGAGGTCTTTTTTGCCACGTACCATCCGGCTATGGAATGAGCTCCCCTCCACGGTGTTTCCCGAGCGCTATGACATGTCCTTCTTCAAACGAGGCTTGTGGAGAGTATTAAGCGGTAGGCAGCGGCTTGGCTCTGCCCCTGGCATTGCCGAAGTCCATGGGCGACGGTAACCACTCACCATCAGGTGGGCCGTATGCCCGTCTGCCTACAAAGGCCATAAAAAAAAATTAAAAAAAAACCTTTCATTTGGGTGCTCTAATTTCCTGTGCTGTCATTGAAATGCTTATCAGATATCTAATACCGTTTTATATATTATAGTAATAGATGCTCTGCTTAGATGTACTGATTGATGTATTATTATCATTACTACCACTTACTTTAACCAAGGTTTTAAATGGATAACAAATTCAGCAAATTCTTCATCTAGATAGGGCATTCTGGGTTGTCGACCATGATCACAAATAACTCTGTTATCCCGAGCTAAATTTCTGTATGGGATCCTTTCCCAATCTAATTGTAATTCTTTACATAGACCAGCCCATCCTAACCGTTTAAAAACAGCCCTGTGTCTTGTGTATCCACCAAATAATTCATCTGCACCAGTACCACTAAATAAAACCTTAAAATGTAACATATAAATGATTACATTTAAATCCAATATTATTAAATTTTTTTAGAAATAAAAATTATGTATAATTTTTCTTACCCTACAATTAGACACGGAGTGATGGTCTTGGCCTCGAGCGGCAAACCATAATGCTGAACCAAGACTTTCATCCAAAATAGTTTGTCTTGGATAAATCAAGTCAGCTATTACACTAATCTGAAATTCTTCCAACTCTTCTTTTGGTACATTAATTTCTTTGAAAGTCCATTTCCTAGAATTAGTAAAAATTTAAATTAAAAGAAATTCTATTTTATCGAAAATATATTTGAATAATTTAATATTTCAGGGTTAGAAAAATAGATTAAGTTTTTAAAGAGATTAAAAATTTCTCTTTTTTTGGGACATGGCTCTTTTGAGTTATCAACCTTAGATATTAATTTAGGCCCTCTTCAAATCATATATGACAATGAAAAAATGTTACCGTAATGGACATAATCTTCTTAGCTCTTCTAAAGATTTTCTACCGGTTATCCTGTCAGGTACATCATATGTTGGGTTCTCTTTATTAAATGCTACATTAAGCAAATCTATGCTTTGGTTTTTTGGTACATATTTATCAGCTAGCAATGCAAGTATTGTACAATCCAAGCCACCCGAAAATAATACTCCAACCGCACTATGACTACAGTTTATTTCTGTAATTTTCAAGCAATTCCTACACAAATTTGGCTGGCGTTTTAACCTTTTATGAATACTTTTATTTAGTAGGTACATTATTTTATTAATTGTTGTTTGTATTTCAGGGTGTTGACTAAGCGTCTTCATAATAGTTACATTACATTTTGTTTTCTTAGCAACACTCTCAATGAATGACACTGTATCATCCTGCAACAATACATCAATAATAATATTGATATCCTGAATGCATATTAAGTTAATTTAATTTTTTTGTTGTTATTAACAATAAGAAAAACAAATTTCTAATTAGATAACCAAATCAAATGAAAATGCACATTATGGTTTCTATGGGCTCTATTAATCACTTGTTTATACCATGTAGACCCTGTCGGTCCAAGAAAACGACATTAACATTAAAAAAATATGGGTGTTATTTAAATGGTTAGCATAGTATTTGAATTTTTGTGAGCAGAAATAGCTAATTGATCAGCAACTTATGGCCAGCAAACATGCCAAAATCAGTCAGCAATTTATGTCATTCTGGATGGCTGTAATTATTTTTGTACAGCATATTATGCGATGAGCTGCTCCTGTTTAATAAAATTTTGATAAGCACTCAAGGGGTACATAAGTAAAAAAATCATTTTGAGCTGGATAGCAAAAACATTTTACTTGCCATGCAAAAATGGGCGCATTCCTTACAATGAATAGTTAATTTATTTACTCTCTCTTTGGGTATTATTTAGTCATAGAAATGTAAATTAATAAAAGATTTCTTTATTCTTATAAAATATAATTGAGATAAAAAATATAAAACAATTAAGTAGCAAAAACCACACAAATCTCTTTAAATCACGTTGTTACCACGACAATTTTACTGCTAATAATCACCGCATAATCATGGAGTGACAATATTCGCACACGATTGACTCCTCGTGTCACGCGCCTGCTCAAGGCCTGATCCAGAAAGGGTGAATTCGCCGCGTATAACGCGCGACCGTTTTGACCACAAAGAGCGTACCTATGCGCGAGCAATTGGAGACGAATTTAGTCAGTACGAAACTTACCATCATTGGAAGAGACAAGAACGGAGGGAAAATATAATGTATTTAGTACAAAAAATTCTTAATGATAGAATGGACACATAGTATGGTTGTCTTTCTTTTTTCCTCGGTGTCATCATCTTTATCAGAAAGTATTAACACCAAAATTCTTCCTGAGATCTACGTTTTAAAATTCTGTTGGCATAATCAGGTGATTCCAAATCCCATATCGCCGGTTGTTTTTCTATTTCGTCTATAAACAATTCCATAGGTATTAAAATTTTGGTGCTCCATTTCCCTGAATATTCGCTCTAGAGTTCGCGCGTTAGCTGGGCGCAACAAGGCGTAGTATCTCGACTTGCACGCACTACGCGCGAGTCGAGGGTCTGGCATAGTGCACGCGATTTATGCGCGTATTTTGAATTCGCGCGATGCTTGTGGACACGATGTATTGGTGCCTAGTATCTCTCCAACGCGCGAATGTTTTCGCGGCGAATTCGCCCTTTCTGGACCAGGTCCCCGCACTTTTAACGTACATTGTCGATTTTTCAATAAAAACGCAATTCAATTAGTTATTTTGCTCACCATGTTTTAAATGCGCATACCAATCAAACACACTGCTTAAAGACATGTTTTCTCTGCTGATCAATCATGAAATCTTGCTGATCAAATAATTATTTTGCGGTCTGAATGTTTATTATGCAAACTCATGTCATTCTAAGCCGCCTATTTATGATTTAATATTTGACCATTATCAAAATTTTTTGCAGAACAAGAATTGCTGCCTGATTTTTTAATAGCATACAAAATCTTTGTATGCCAATCAAATTATTTCAATGCTGTTTTTTTGTGGCTCACCAAATATTTTATTTGCTAACCATTTAATTACTTCTCAAAAAATATTTCAGGTGTTATTTACTTATTATAAAATTAGTTTTAGGTTATAGGTAAATCATGATCATGAAAACTTACAAGACCATCTATATCCCATGGTATATTGGCTTCAACGGTAAAATCTAAATCAGATAAACTTTGTTTTAATTGTAATGTCTTCAACCAATCACCGAGATTACATTGCTGAACGATATCTGTGGCTTTCCATGTATACAACAATATCTTATGAGTATTCAAGTCCAAGACAGAGATGTGTGATACGGGAACTTCATAATTCTCATACTGTGTACCTATGTTAAATTGGAATTCAAAATATTAGACATGAATGGTATGCAGCCACATAACACATAAAGCTAGCATACAATTTGGTTAACTGTTGATTAACATAGTTTTTACCATATTTTTATTTCCCTCTACCTGCAGTCTTTTGTTATCAAGATACTTAAGTAAATACAGTGTGAATCCTTAGAATGTGCACTTAACGAAATGAGGGAATCTATGCTTAATTTTATCGAGGGAAAAATATTTAAATGTTAAAAATATTAAAAATAATTTAAACAATAATATTTAATGTTATGTTTGAGTTATAAACATGAAATTTTTACTAATGGGTAGCTAATACGATATAAAATAACTTTAATTAATAAAAGAAGTAGGTAAAGGGGCATCACACTGTATTAGGGTGGGCCAAAAAAAAACTTTAAAATTTTTTTTAGTTACTGCGTAAATATCGTCCAAGATGACGAAAAGAAATTCTGGTAAAGTTTGAGCTCTGTTTAGAGGTGCCGCGCATCGTGATTTTTGATTTCCCATTTAAATAACACAGGTTTTTTTTTCTTTTGTCTTTTATTGTATCTCAACGAATTATCGTGTAGTAAAAAGAAATACATTATTTTTGTAGGGAATTAAACGGCCTACAATAAATATTTGTTTGGTCTGAAATATTTTTTTGCAAAGTCAACTCGGTTAAAGTGATTCACACTTAAAGTTCTACCTAAAATAATATATGATGACTTTCACAATTTTTTAAGGATTTATCACAGAACGCGTACTTAGCGTGCGTCAGAGCGCTAAACTGTCGGCGCGCTATGATGCCGAGATGTGTTGTACTATTACGTAGTACGCAACGCTGTCGCGGCGCGCTGCCGCCGCATGCCGCGTGACATGAACAGAGTGCGACGTTAAAACGCAGCGCTAGCTAACGCCTTTTTTTTTTTTTATTGCCTTTGTCGGCAGACGGGCATACGGCCCACCTGATGGTGAGTGGTTACCGTCGCCCATGGACTTCAGCAATGCCAGGGGCAGAGCCAAGCCGCTGCCTACGCCTTCTGTTTGACTAAGCCTTTAAAGCGCTGGCGCTCTGTTTGACAGTATATTATACAACAAAAACACATCTCGACCTCATAGCGCTCCGTCAGTTCTGACGCGCGCTAATTACGCGTTCTGTTTGACGAAGCCTTTAGACTTTTTCACAAAAAAAATGGCTTAAAAACAAAACAACATATTTTTTTCGTTTTTACTTTCCATATTTATTTAGAATGCAAGCTTTGAAAACTGATTTTAATGTAGTCGGAAGTACTGTAAAGATTTTTGATGCGATTATGTCTATTATTTATTGATTTGTTATTTGAAATCAAGTTTTAAAAAGGAAAATTGATTATTTTTCTTTTCAAAGCTTTCATTCTCAATAAATATAGAAAACGAAAAAAAAATGTTGTTTTATGTTTTTAAGCCTTTTTTTTAGGTTAAACTTTAACTGCGAATAACTTTCAACCGAGTTGACTTAGCAAAAAATTATTTCAGACCTTTTTTGTAGGCCGTTTAATTCCCTACAAAAATATGTATTTCTTTTTACTACACGATAATTCGTTGAGATACAATAAAACTCCAAAGAAAAAAAAAACCAGTGTCATTTAAATGGGAAATCAAAAATCACGATGCGGCACCTCTAAATATTAATATTAAGAGCTCAAACTTTACATTTTTTTTGTCATCTTGGACGATAATTTCGTAGTACCAAAAGAAAAGTTTTTTTTTTGCCCATCTTAGTAAAAATGTCACTAGATAAGTAAATTGGGTAAATAAGAGTAAATATGCCTGTTCTACTATATAAAACTTACATTCTATGTTATAGGTATAAAAGAAATTAAATATATCAAAAATAGGTTTGTCTGTGCTTTCAGTTAAAAGTAGCTATAAGTAGTAATTTCTTATTAATTTAAGCTTTTTTAATTCAAAACTTTATTTCTTAAGATTCCTTATCTCAAAAGTCCGCATAAGGTGCCAACACCATTATTGAGTGAGTAGTTTATCATGATTGCATTTAACAATAACAATCTTCAAAATAGAGAAAAGCCTAACAAATAAAAACTAACATTTTACTCTAGATATAGATATACATTTATATACAATAAAGGATAAAATCACATTACCTAAGACACTGGATAATACTAAAGAATTTGAATTTTTATGTATGAGTAAAGAGTTTCTTCCAAATCGATCCCTAGTGAAATATAATTTATTTGTCACTTTACAGTAATATATTAAGCTGAATGGCCCCTTTAGTGACTTTAATACATTGATCACTTTATCGATTTGACTGTCCTGAAAAAAAATATTTACATATAGGTATATAAGCTTGCCAAGGGTTTGTTGTAGGTTCAGTTAGCCAAGGAAAATAATATTTTCTCCTACCTACGCCGAAAGTTCGGTTTTCCTCCCGCTGTACAGGGAAGAAAGTGTAACTTTTCCTCCCTGGGTACAAGTGCGCATGTGCGTTAGTGTCTACATCTGCTCTTACGCACCTACAATTCTCCACCATTGTTGTGCTCGGGTAATTTGCAATATTGTGTTTAGTGTAAAAGTGAAATAAACAAAATGCAATAAAATTTAATACTGAAGTATTAAACAAAGATGAGTTCATCAGACAGTTCTTATTCAATTAGTAGTAGTTTATTTAAAAATTAAAAAACAGTTAAATGGTTTTTTAAGAGTATGGGGGGGCTCCGCTCCCCCTACCCTCTGCCAGGGCTTCGCTCCTGGACCCCAGCTAGGTATTCCACGAACTCGCCGTGGTAGGAAAAAAAATAGTATTTGCACTGCGAGAAAAAAGTAGGACATCTCATCCTGCATGTTAGCCATTTTATTGACAATTTTACCCGCAGGAGGAAATGTCCTACTTTTCTCCCTTGGTGCACAATGTACTATTATTGGTATAAATGAATGTCAAGTTTTAGGCAGTAAGACTTTGGAAGGAACTTTAAATATTTGCTGCTAATAAAAAAAAAAACTATAATATGAATTGATAAATTAACGACTATTTCTCACACAATCATAACTAAGTTTCTCCATGATTATTTGCGTGTCGCTGGTTCTGCTATCCCAAGATTCGTCAAATATATCACCATTATACAAAAGGATGCCACATTCATTTTCGAGAGGTTGTAATGTCATTTGCGGACCTTGCATCCATAGAACTGAGGCTACGAAAACTATGTGTTGTCCAATTTCAGAAATAAAATCCTTCCTCTGTAAGTGATCGGGTCCTCTGTTTTTGAGTCTTCGAAGGACATCAATATCCTAGAAATGGTCTCTATTAAAAAAAACCTTAAAATTGGTATACTACGTAACAACATTTCAGATTAATAATCACGTACGTTCACTATGCTACATTTTTCGCAGCTTAACTCCAAAAATATACCACACATGCTGTCAATTACGGTATCCAAACGATCAACAGCAATTCAAAGTTTCAAATGGTTTAAAAACACCACCGATGTAGCCGTCGGTGATACCCAATATCCATACTCCATAGAGTTAGGTATTTTAAGTAAGTAGGTACCGGTAAAATGGGGCGATTAGGGATTGAGAGGCGAATCGGGAAAAAACCGGGAAAATCTTTCGACGCTCAATATAAGTTTTATATTCGTTGCAAAATCTTCCATTTGTGGCGTTTTATTATGCGTAAGCCGGAACGCACGAGATGTGGGAAAAAGGATACCGTAAAATGGGGCGATTAGGGACAAATTCCAACTTTATGAGCAATTTTAAGGTAGTTGTTGATGTATATAATGCTATATCAGGATCAAAATGATTGAGTCTTGGGAGCATCTTTGTTGTCTAATTTAAAATTATGCAACTAGCATTCCAGTTTAAGCAAAAAATGCAAAAATAGGTGTAATCCCTATTTACCCGAAAATTGCNCCAACCCTAGCAAATTTCTCATTTCGTCCCAATTAACCGCAATTTTCGGGTAAATAGGGATTACACCTATTTTTGCATTTTTTGCTTAAACTGGAATGCTAGTTGCATAATTTTAAATTAGACAACAAAGATGCCGCCAAGACTCAATCATTTTGATCCTGATATAGCATTATATACATCAACAACTACCTTAAAATTGCTCATAAAGTTGGAATTTGTCCCTAATCGCCCCATTTTACGGTACCTACTTATTTAACTCCATGGTGATATAGGCATAGAATTTTTTAAAGAAATTTTATGACATGGTAACTAAAGGTCAAGTCATTTTAATTTTATTTTAAATGAAAAATGATATAATGAAATGAAATGAAGTTGATTAATACGAAACATGGCATGAAATGAAATGAAAATCAAAATGAAATGAGATGAGATGAGATAATATGGGATGAAATATAATCTCAGTAAAATGGTGGTCATTTACTGAGATTTTTTCAGTGGACTTTTTGGAGGATCCCGAGAAGTCACCTTCAGCGGCTTTGTTTCATTTTCCCATATTTGTGTACTTTCAAAGATACTAAAGTTATTAAACCACCGTTAATACACATTTAAACTTAAAGAAACACTAAATAGACAAAACAAATCACACAACTTCACTCCTCGCGTTCCCGCCAAAAGTTCTCTCGGCGTTTATGAGATTTTATGACCTGGTAACTAAGACCTTTAGGTCAAGTGTTGTTTTAATTTTAATGAAAACTTTTTATATATGTCATTGTAAAATGATATTATTAATGAAATGAAGTTGATTAATATGAAACATGGCTAGAAATGAAATGAAATGACATGATAACGAAATGAAGTGAGATATGATAATATGGGATGAAATATAATCTCAGTAAAATGATGATCATTACTGATATTTTTTCAGTGGACTTTTTGGAGGATCCCTAGAAGCTACGTCCAGCGGCTTTGTTTTATTTTCTCACATTTGTGCACTTTCGCAGATATCAAATAGTTGATTAACCACCGTTATTACACATTTAAACCCGAAGAAACACTAAATAGACAAAATAAAACTAATCACACATCTTCACTCCTCGCGTTCCCGCCAAAAAGTAACCAAATTGTTTTAGAACAGTATCACATCACAGCCTACACACTAGGAAGATACTGGGTAGTAAGTACTAGTGGCAGGAAACTATTTTTTATTGAAGTGAAACTCTAATGCGATTTCCAACCTGGTAGCTTTTTATTTTATTTTCCTACTTAATCTGATAGCCTTGAGAGGCTATATCAGCGTCGCCTTAACTAATAGGCCGTTTTCCAATTACAGCACAAGAGCTACCATTAAGTAATGGTTAATTACAGAGCATAATGCGACTCAGTGACGCACAATGCCGAATTATGCTGAAGCTTAGTTGAGCATTATGCCGCATAATGCGATCTTGTGCTGTAATTGGAAAACGGCCATAGGTAGCTCACAGGGCTCAAACCTGATGACGTTGCTAGCACGAACCCTAGCAATAGCTATGCCTCGCAGAATCTACCACCGGATCGGAAACGCGACCCACTGAGAAGATCCGGCGAGAAACTCAGCAGGCTGTGTCTGAGGGTTAATTTACTCATCGAGCCCTTCGTCGCAAGCGACGGGTTTGACGAGAACGGTGACCGGCCAACAGGTTGCGTTGAACGTTTAACGCCACCATGGAATAGAATGGCAGTCGAACGTATGTGCGTAGTATACCTGTTAGCAACGAGTAGCGACTAATATTTTAATGAAGTATTTAAATTAAATTAAATAAAAATATAGTTATTTTTCTATCTATGATTTAAAATATATATAACATAAATGTTGAAGATGTCGCCTCTCTTATACACAGCATTCCCTATTACAAGAGCAAACTGATTTAAGGATGAAAAATAAAGAAAACCACAATATTACACATTGAAGAAGAAGTTTCACTTCATTCATGTGGACCAAGTTGCATGTGCACCGTTTTTTTAAAATTATTTGTGTTCCTTTTTAGAATTCGTACTGTGTATATAGGACGTTATAGCACGAATCGAGTAACTATTGAGAAAATACAATATACATAGTTCACGGTATAAAGTAAGACTCTTTTAATTCGAGTGCTAATTACTCGATTCACATGCTTATCTACCGTGAGAAGTGTAAATAATTGTTCGTATCTTGCTCATACGTAGTATTTTTATTAGGCCATAATATAATAAATTATTTTATATAATATTTTTATTCAACAATTTAAGTTTTACAGCATGTTACCTCTTCAATTGCAGTACTGGACTAGCAAAAGCATATTGTTTTGTAATCTCCACTGGGAACTAGCTGGCGGGTTGCAAAAATATATAATGCAATGAGTACATAGAAGCAGGTTCATCCTTATGTACATTAACTATGCTTGATTTGCTTTTGCTACAACATAAATCTGGTAATTGCTAAAAGCGAACAAGATAAGCAGAAAGTCAGATGGGCCGTTTGCTGGTCTACTAACAAAGACTATGAAAAATAAGGTAAAATCCATTATCTCTTTGAAATTCAGTCTCCATAAGATTGTATACCGGTTTATTAAAAAAGCTTCAATTTTCACGAACAATGAAGTTTAGTCGTCGCAAATATTCTCATGTCGAAACACTACGTGCTTATAAAACCACCAAAATTCACAAAACCACTCAAAATTACCAATTTACAAAAAGAAACATTAATGCTATATTGGCTTCAGGGCCAAAATTCAATTAGAATTTTAACTTGCTCAGAAGTGAATAAGTATTCGAACAAAATCCACTTATTTTTGAATCGCACTACCTTAAATGCTATTCGAGATGCTCACTTTGGTAAAGTTACTGAATTAATGAGATCACAGTGTTGACAAAGTCACGTTAAGCTTCATACTTTGGATACATAATGCGATCAAATATGCATAAGTTAGAGAAAAAGTTGATCGTGGGACAAATGAGGAGGCCGAAATCTAATACGATGGTGTATTATACAGACAACATAAGAAACTTTACAACGATCTATTCAACTGGCACGAGACAAAAGTAAATGAATACAAATCATATTTGGTCCCGATCCTCACTAGTGAAGGGACGATAGAGAAGAAGAAGAAAAATAACTTTGCCTATTTCTGTCATGAAGCAGTGATGCGTTTCGGTTTGAAGGGTGGGGCAGCCGCTGTGACTATACTGAGACCTTAGAACTTATATCTCAAGGTGGGTGGCGCATTTACGTTGTAGATGTCTATGTGCTCCAGTAATCACTTAACACTAGATGGGCTGTGATCTCATCCTTCCATCTAAGCAATAAAAATTTTTTTGTAAGTAAGTACATCACAGTAATCTTTGCCGGTTTAATTTGTACTGAAGACACGAAAATGGTAGGTAGGAAAATGGTGGTTCTATAAGTGAGCGGTGGTGGGTGGGTCTATATAATATAAAGAACCAGGTTACGTAGAAACTAATATGCATAGTTAATACACTTAATATTTAAGACTGGTGGTTAACTTATTATGGTGGTGGACTTAATAGTGGAGGTAGGACCTCTTGTGAATCCGCACGGGTAGGTGCCGCCACCCTGCCTATTTCAGTCGTGAAGCAGTTATGCGAAACGTAGTGTTACATACTCTTTGGTTATGCGTTTCAGTTCGAAGGGCGAGGCAGATGTTGTAACTATACTGACACCATAGAGCTCATACCTCAAGGTGGGTGGCGGCATTTACGTTGTAGATGTCTATGGACTCCGGAAGGCGGCACGACATGAGAACCCTCTTGTCGTGGCCGCTGGAAACTACATACTCGATCCTGTAGACCGAATGGTAAACAGTCGACGTCGCTCAAAACACGTCATCACGGATCCTCCCGATCCATTAACGGTGCTTCTAGGTACCACAAGCACCGGTCACCGTCCTCGTCGAACCCGTCGCTTGCGACGTAGGGCTTGACGAGCGAATTAACCCATAGACACAGCCCACTGAGTCTCTCACCGGATCTTCTCAGTGGGTCGCGTTTCCGATCCGGTTGTAGATTCTGCGAAGCACTGCTCTTGCTAGGGCCAGTGTTTACAACACTCCAGTTTGATCCCCGTGAGCTCACCTACACGTTAGGGTAAAGCTGAAATACCTCTCAAGGCTATCAGCATAGGTAGGAAAATAGAAGAATAAGTTAATCTGTGGAACCAGGTACCTTATTTCATAATTATATGGAATTTTTGGCTGGAACGCGAGGAGTGAAGTTGTGTAATTAGCTTTATTTTGTCTATTTAGTCTTTCTTCGGGTTTAAATGTTTGATAACGGTGGTTTATTAACTGTTTAATATCTGCTAAAGTGCACAAATGGGGGAAAATGAAACAAAGCCGCTGGACGTAACTTCTCGGGATCCTCCAAAAGTCAACTGAAAAAATCTCAGTAAATGACCACCATTTTACTGGGAGTATATTTCATCCCATACTATCTCATTTCATTTAATTTCATCCCAGTTGATTAATGTCTCAGATTAATAATCTTCATTTCATTTCACTGCATAATATAATTTTTCATAAAAATATGAATATAAATTAAAATAAGACATGACTTAAAGGTCTTAGTTACCAGGTCATAAAATCCCTTAAAAAAAAAAGATAATACACATAATATCAATATCTCAAATATATTAAGTGTATAATCTATGCATAATATTTATGACACCTACTTACCCAAATGTTTGTAAATTTTTAAATGAATTAAATGTGATTTGCTGAGTTAATAAATGCAAAAGAAAGTTGCACACACCATATAGTGGTGTCCATTGGCTTCAAATAATACCTATCTAAAAGATAAAATGACTGCCACCAACAACGATGAGGCAAACGAAACACCTATTGAAGAACCGCTTAAAGATTTAGAAGAAAATGAGAAAGCGGCTGTCGAAGAGTATACAGCTAACTTGGAAGCCAGATTGAAACAAAAATATGAAATACGTAATCAAAATTTGAATTGCACTCGACCACCAGAAAATTATTTTTCCAAGTTAGATTCAGGTTTGAAAAAGAATACCACATTTGTAAAAAAACTAAAATCATTTAGTGCTTCTCAGCTAGATGTACTTTTGAAAGATTTTGCAACATTAAATCTTACAAAATATATATCAGAAGTGGCTGCTGCAATAGCAGAAGCAAAATTGAAAATGTCTGATATTCCTGCTGCAATAACTCTATGTTCAGTTCTTCATCGTACTTACGCTGATTTTTCATCTAACTTTTTTGAAAACTGGCAAAAGATTTTAACATTCAAAGCGACTGATAAAATAACAAATTCATCAAAACTGCGGGTGGATATAAGATTTTATGCAGAATTAGTGGCTGTCGGTATTTTTATGAATAAAACTGGATTGCCTTTGCTGGGTAATGTATTAACTGTTCTAATAAACATGGACAAAGAAGAGCATAACAATATACCAATTTTGTTATCATTTTGCAAACACTGTGGTGATGATTATGCTGGACTTATGCCTAAAAAAATACGAGAAGCTTCTGAGGTAAGTTGATAAGAAAGCTATTCTTTTATTTATTAGTAAATACAACTAATTATTGTTTCTTAATGGAGGTGAGTACTAAATAAAAGTAAATAAAAAATTAATTTATCAAATTAAGAAAAAAAATGAAATGAATATGTTGATAATTTTTATTTAAATATAATTAGTGTGTTGCTTAAGCAATCCTATATAAACAACGTAATATTTATTTTATTTTATTTGTGGTTTTGCGCATAACAGTTATAGAAGAAGAACTTATAGAATTGACAATGTGTGGTCAATGTTCAACGATTCTTGATAGCATTCCCATCGTTATATTTGTGCGAACGTGAAATTAATGCTGTGGCAACACTGCTTACTGAAAAGAGAAATCATTTGTATGTTACCAAAGGTGGGGACTTGCTGTTTTAGACTGATTTGATTTTGATTGACTGTCTGATTGACTGATTTTGAATAAATTGGAACCTGATATCAACAAACTTATTAAACAGCATCAGATTCATCCTTCACGTTAGTTCTTATTTTAGAATCGATTTTTATTTTTATTTTTTTGGATATAAGAAATATTTCAGAACATTATAAAGTTGTGCTTCAATTATCATTTTCATTGGCAGGTGTATCCTGTTCGAGTTAACTTGAGACCTGAGCGCTGTTGTGTACTACCCACTGCGCTCAGGTATCAAGTTAACTCTTGCGGTAAAAGCCTCGTTTAGAATGAATAACAACTAATATAGCTCGCAATAATTAATTGAATTTGAAGTGATCGTGGTTTTTAAGTAGGTGAAAAAATGGGGCATTAAAAAATAATTTATTCTCAAAGTGGGCAGTAGATAAAACTAAGTTTGGGAATCCCTGGTTTATATGTATATGTGTAGTATTAAGTAACATTTAGGGTGGAATGGCTTAGTTTGTAATAAATAAAGAGCAAAACATTTATTTTCCAGAAATATAATATTCCTGTTCCTCGAAATACATTTTTACCGGCAGAGAAACAAACAGCAGTTAGAACTCTCTTGAAAGATTACTTTCTTTCACTAACCAAACATCTGCTGGCGGAAAGAGCTCAACTTCAAGCTCTGCATGCAGCAAATCAGAGGACTCTGCACACCAGAGGAGAACTCTCACAAGAAAGAAAAGAACAATTAGAACAACATCAAGTAGGCTTACATTTAATATTAAATTTTCAAGTTTGTAATTTTAAGCAATAATATCTTCCTATCTTCTAACTTTTGTCTGATTCTGGTATAATTGAATTTTCATATTTCTAGATCATGAAGTCAGTGTTAATGACAAAATGAGCAGTTTAAAGACTGTTCCATTTTATTAATTTAATCAACATGTTCCTATTATTAATTAACAAAGGTAAAGTTTTTCTTATGGTCCATTGTATGCAGTAAGTCCATGAGCAACGGTAACCACTCACCAACATGTGGGCTGTATGCTTGTCTGGCTACAAAGGCGATAAAAAACCTATACCTACCTCATTCTCTTTAAGTCCAGGTACATCTAAAGCTATCAGAAGTTATCAGACACAGATTATCCATTCAGTTAATTATAAACCGACCGAATAACATATTAAAATAATAAACGAATTATTATTATAAATTATATTATTCAATTACTAAAATACTGCTATAGGGTTATTGGTTTCAAAATAGATTAAACCAATTTTATACCCAGTTTTTTTTTTTGTGATAGCTGAAAAATACAATCTGAGATAAATTAAAAAATAATGTTTGTGAGCTTTTTCATAATCTGTAATTTTGCACATCATTTAACAGACTGAATAGTATTGGCTGGCTTTCTTTGAATAGCATAAATTTCTATAAAGTATATGATATCTTACAATTACCATAATTTGATTAAGCATAAGATGATTAATTACTGGTGGTAGGACGTTTTGTGAGACCGCACGGGTAGGGACCACCACCCCGCTTATTTCTGCCGTGAAAGCAGTAATGCGAATCGGTTTGAAGGGTGGGGCAGCCGTTGTAACTATACTGAAACCATAGACATCATATCTCAAGGTGGGTGGCGCATTTACGTTGTGGATGTCTATGGGCTCCAGTAACTACTTAACACCAGGTGAGCTGTGAGCTCGTCTACCCATCGAGCATTAAAAAAAAATATTACATTGGAGATGTCTATGGGCAACCTAAGCAATTAACAAAAATAAAAAAAGACATAAATTTTATGACATTTTCAGACAACTTATGACAAGCTACTAGTAAATGCACAAAATTTTGCTGAAGTTCTTGGAGAAGATTTGGGTGAAGCTGGTGAACCTCCCACTTTGTCCCTGACTGTTATAGAGACTCAAGGAAGTGTAACCATTGGTGGCAATGAAGACATTACTATGCAAGCCGGTACTGATCCTTGGCAGGACGAAGATTCTAGAACATTCTATACATGCTTGCCTGACTTAAAAGTTTTTATGCCTAACTATCAAATGAAAGAGGTAAAAAATAGTCATATAATCATATTATTATTTTTTCATTAATATCACAGTTGGTTGACTGAGCTCACAGCCTACCAGTCGCTAAGTGATTATCAGAGGTCATAGGTATCATTAAGTGAATTAACATGCACTTTAAGGTCTCAATTCTATAAAAACAGGTGGGGCCACCCTGCAAACTGGAACGCATTACTGCTTCACTGCAGAAATAACTTCGGTGGTGATACTTACTTGTGCAGGCACATAAGAAGCGTCGTGTGTGCCTGTGTTATCAGAAAAAACGTACTTTATACTAGCGACCCGCCCTCGCTTCGCTTCGGAAACATTAAATTTTATTATTGATAGGCGAGTCCCGCCATGTTAACCGCGGTTATTGTCGTACCGCGGGTAACGCTGCGGGGCAAAGCTAGTCTAAAAAAAGTAGCCTAATTTACTCGTTATATCATCAGCTACCTATCAGTGAAAGTCTCGTCAAAATCGGCCCAGCCGTTCCAGAGATTAGCCGGAACAGACAGACAGACAGACAAAAACTGTAAAAAATGTTATTTTGGTGTATGTACCGTATATATGAGTCGACTATTATCAAGGCCGGCAATGTGACTTTTGGACAATTATTGGTAAATCAGAAAAACGAATTATTGACTTTGTATTCCATTGGCAGTCACAAAACTCTTCTGAACGACATCTTAGATAAATAACAGGTTAAGTATTAACCTTTATTTAATGCAGGTTTTGAACCGTATTCTTTGACGGAGACGATTATATTCAAATCAATCTGTATTGACATATCAATAACATTTTTTTGTCCAAATGCACAGATTACCTTTGATAATAGACGACTCATATATTCATATGCATGTAGTAAAAAGTGGTTATTTCAATATTACAAACAGACACTCCAATTTTATGTATATGTATAGATTTATTTATTTTACGTATTTTAAATATTTATCATTGACAATATAATTGGCGGTATTGTAAATGGGAACCACATTTTAAAGTAAAATGTACATTATAAAAGCAGACTGTGAAAAGCAAAACTGAAACGGTAACAGAAGAAATGTTAGATGAAGATTTGAAGGAGGATGAATTAAGTGACAATGAGGACCCATCTGTAGTTCAAGAAGTAGAAACTGAAGAAATACAACCACCAAATGTTTCCAATAAGTATGTTTATTGTTTTTTTTTTTTCAATATACAGAAACAAGCTAAATTAAAGAAAGAAGGCTTGTATAAAAAAATGCTTACATTAGAAATCATTGATTGTAAGAGTCATTCCTCTCTCCTAATATTAGATCCATTTACTTTTAACAAACTAAAAGCATAGTGAAAATAAGAAATGTCTATGTCAAACATGGTAACATAGGTGATGAAAAGGAAGAATAGAATATTTAAATACTTACATTTCGCTCCAATCTTGAAATCAATTCAATTGATATGTTTTTAATTTATTAAATTTTCAATTTTGTGACAGACATGGATTAGATACATTTTTGAATGAACTTCCCAACTGTATCAACCGAGAACTCATAGATAATGCAGCAGTTGATTTTATCCTGAATCTCAATACAAAGAATAATCGGAAGAAACTTTCAAGAGTTCTCTTCAGTGTTGCCAGAACAAGGCTAGATCTGTTGCCATTTTACTCAAGATTTGCTGCGATTTTATATCCAGTACTGCCAGAAGTTTGTGTTGACCTGTGTCAAATGTTAAAACAAGACTTTAAGTATCATGTCAGGAAAAAGGATCAAATAAATATTGAATCGAAGGTAAGAAGAATATAATATTATTATAATGATTTTATGTTGACTCTACATAAATATACCCCAAAAAAAGAAGACAGTAAAATATTAAATAAATCTATTATTAAAATTACTTGTACAGCTTAATCTTTCCTTATATTGTTATTACTCAATATTATATTTGACGTTTCTAATATTTTACAGTTTGTGGTCACGCACGACTAACAGTCATAAAAATAGTTTTAATTATGTCTACAACTTGCTAAAACCGAAGAACTATTATTGTGTTTTTTAAATTTTTATATATAATTTATTTTAGATAAAAGTGGTGCGATTCATTGGGGAACTGGTTAAGTTTAATTTGTATTCGAAAATGGAGGCGCTGTATTGTTTGAAAGTGTTGCTGCATGATTTTAAGCATCACCATATTGAGATGGCTTGCAATCTGCTTGAAACGTGTGGCAGATATTTATACTGTAATCCAGATACACACCAAAGGACTATGATATATTTACAGCAAATGATGCGAAAAAAAGTATGAAAACATAATATGAATATATTTTGTTGAGTTGATATATTATAATTATTTTAGTTCAGTAGATCCTAATTTAATAGTTTAAATAATAAATAAAATAACAGTTTAACAGAACATACGTTAATAAAATATATTGAATTATATTATTAGAAAATGCTCTACTTAAATAATAATTATTTGTGTTCAGACTGTTTCAGCTCTAGATTCGCGATATGTAACACAGATAGAAAACGCATTCTATTACGTTTGCCCTCCCGAAACTCCTGTTCAGCCTAAAGAAGAAGAACCACCACTTCATCAATTTATCAGAAAAATACTTCATGAAGACTTGCAGAAAAGTAATGAGGAAAAAATTCTTAGGTTAATGCGAAAACTGAATTGGGATGACCCAGAGGTATCCGCCATTGCCATACAACATCTCGCAGGAGGTTGGAGGGTAAGAGCAAGTGCCAGAAGGGCTCTGGCCAGACTGACAGCTGAACTGGCAATCTGGCAAGAAGTAGTAGCTCCAGCAGTCGTTGACACAATATTAGAAGAAATAAGGGTAACAATGGAAGACCCACATCCAAGATATAATCAAAGAAGGATAGCTACTGTTCGGTATCTCGGAGAACTCTATAATTATAAACTATTAGATTCTCGAGATGTTTTCACTGTTTTATATTCATTTATAACATTTGGTGTCACCAATGATCACAGCAGTGTATCTGTGTTGGACCCATCTGATAATGTTTTTAGAATAAGACTAGTCTGCGCTCTGCTTGAGACTTGTGGTGCATACTTCAACAGTGGTTCGAGCAAAAAAAGATTAGACTATTTTTTGACCTTCTTCCAAAATTACTATTGGTTCAAGTTCTCTGATCCGATATGGACCAAAGACTATCAATTCCCTATTTACGTGAAATATATTTATCAAGAATGCCTGACGACCTTACGCCCTAAGTTGACTTTGTTTACGAGCTGGCAACAGTGTAAGGATGCAATAGATGAACTACGACAGACTTTATATCCGGAGCTAGGAGAGGAAGAGTACGATAATGAGGATCAAGGTGATGACAGTGTGAACGACGGCTTAGACACAATTATGGAAACGGATGATGAAACGGACAATCCGCAATTGCCTGATGAAAGTTCTGATGAAGAACCGATTACCGAAAATAATGTTAATGACGAAAACGAAATGCAAGATGAAATGGCAATTGAGCCACGAAGACCTGCTACTAAACATGTAAGTGGAGATCTTTGATATATTTTTAAAATATTTTACAAAATCAGTGTACCTACTACATATACTCGTATGCATTTCGGTTTTTAGGTAGAAGACGTTGAGTTCGAATCGGCATTCGAGAAAATGGTAACAGAAAATATTGCAGAAAGACAACGGGAGAATAGACCGCAGCAACGCGACATTGCTGTCCCGATGACCTGCAGACAGACTACGAAGAAGACGTATGAACAGCTCTTGGTATGAGTTAATATACAATTTGAGTTACTGACGCTTAAGTAAAACTCTGTGAAACACGTCTCAATTTACTTTATGTCTAGTGTAGGAAATTCAAGGTAAAGGGAAACTGTCTCCAGAATTACATCTTTTAGCTGCACTATGTTTTTTACTGTCTGTTCTACAGAAGATTACATGTCATAACTTTAAAATGTTTTTGATAGTAGATTGAAATAAAATAAAATAGCTTTTTATCTATCCTAAATTATATTTACAATTAATACTTGTAATAGTATTAATTGAATATTTTATTTTCAGCAAGGAAAAGAGGGCGTGGAATTCGTTCTTATGGTTCGTAAAGGAACGAAACCACAATATAAATCGTTCAGTGCTCCACCGGAATTGGCCAGCAATCTACAACAACAAGCTTTAGCTGATAAACAAGAAATGGAACGAGTTAAACGGTATTGAAATTCAGATAATAAGTTATTAAAAAAATAATTTACGCAAGCAACAGAGACGTCGGATAGCCTAAAGATCAATACGGTCGTGGAGCCGACGTATGCTGCTACGGTGTCCCGTGGGAGTAGGAAGATGGGGTTTCAGTTAGTTCAACTCCGATATGACTCGCCTACTGCCCCCAATGAGTAGGCGGAAGTCTGGTGATTCCTTGTGGTCTTAAAAAAAGAACCAGACTTGATTTTAAACATTTTAATTTTTAATTTTAAACAATAAAACGTAAGAATTCGTTATACGGCCTTAAACAATGTTTGGCGATCGATATTTAACACTGTTTGTCCTGAAAGCAATAAGAAACTTCTAAACCGTTCAGAAAATACCAATTAAAAATAACGTTAATGTCATAGATGTAATGTGTATTCAGTCTTTAATTTACTGATTAATTTAATTTTTTAGACTTACTCTAAATATATCGGAAAGACAAGAAGAAGAAGAATATAGCGCAGAGAGCGGTGGTGGATCGGGAGGTATCGGTAATCCTAACAGAGGTCAGCATGTTCGTCAGAAATACCAACATCCCAAAGGGGCACCGGACGCCGATCTCATATTCGGTCCTAAGAAATTTAAATAAATAAAAAACTAATGTATGTAATGTATTGTAATAATATATGTAATAAAAAAAGGGTTTTTTTTCTTTTTCAATGGAATAAATTTTTTACGCAAAACTGTAAATTTTTTAAGTGTAAATTTAAATTAACGCACTGAAAAATATAAGTCTGGCGGAAACTCTAGGAGCGAACTATTTTGAATAGTTTTTTTGTTAATTTAGTGTGTTCAAAGTGTGCGTGCGTGCAGGCGTGTAATAACGGTGGATTAGTAAGTGTTTAGCATCTATGAAAGTGCAGAATGTGGGAAAATGGAATGAAAGCCTCGTAGCCTTTCGGGTTCTGCCAAAAAGTTCACTAGTTTCAGTAAATAACCACCATAATATAATAAATATAATTACTAATACTTTATTTCATCCCATTTCATCTCGTTTCATTAAATTTCATCTCAATTGATTAAAGTTTCAAATAAAGCAACTTCACCTCATATCATCCATAATATTATAATTTTTCACTCCACATTATTTTTTATAAAACAAAATAAATTTAAACAGATTAGGCTGCTAGGCTTGATACCTTCGCCTTTCATGTTGGAATGGAACCACTGCAGAAAAAGAAAAACTGGGGTAGCCGATCATTTGAATGGAATCGATTTGCCATCTCAACAGAATTCATGTAAATTCATCTTCGAATAAAATTACACAAAGTATGAGGTATATGAATTACATAATTTATTCATTTATAAACGACTATACTGGTCAATTAACGCTATTTACTTTTTAAAAATAATGATTCACAGTTTTGAAGGTCCAATCATTGATACGACTTTGTTTAAGACTAAAGGCAATGAACTTAATAGGTCAGAATAGGAGACCGCTATGAAGCAACGAAAAAAATATCTATCCTCTGTATTAATTGTAATTCGATCTAAGTATTTTAGCGGTATTCAACGATATTAATGAAATGTACACGTCATCTCGGATCCTCCAGATCCACTAACGGTGCTTTTAGGTACTTCAAGCACCGGTCACCGTTCTCGTTGAACCCGTCGCTTGCGACGAAGGGCTCGACGAGTAAATTAACTCTCAGACACAGCCCACTGAGTTTCTCGCCGGATCTTCTCAGTGGGTCGCGTTTCCGATCCGGTAGTAGATTCTGCGAAGCACGGCTCTTGCTAGGGTTCGTGTTAGCATCGTCGTCAGGTTTGAGCCCCGTGAGCTCACCTACAAACGTTAGGGCGAAGCTGAAATAGCCTCTCAAGGCTATCAGCTTAGGTAGGAATTTTTTTTTATGTAATACTACATTTTATTGTCATATAAAATATAAAGTGTTAGTGCTGCCACCTTATGATCGTAACAAAAATTACAGTTTTATTAATTGGTCATTATAAAACCAGTCATTTAGTATTGTTTAACAACATTGTGAGAACGTGACACATCTATTCTGATTTGGTTTTTGAGGTAATCGATTATAAGAATCGAAGAGTATTAGTATATCGATTCAGATTGAGCATCCTTATGAAATACTAACCTAAAACGAAAAAAACAAATAAAAACCAAACTATTACAAATAATAATTAAATTCAAATTAAATTGTTTTTCATTCAAAACGCGAATACTCTAAAATGGGAGATGAAGGATTTAGTAAACTACTTCAACAAGCAGAACAGTTAACGACTGAGATAGAAGGTAATGAAGAATTGCCGAGAGTTGAACGTTCTTTAGGGCAAGTTCTCGAGGCCTCCCAGGAACTTTACTCGAGAGTAATACAATCTGGCGCTAACGATATTCAAGCGTAAGTATTAAATTCAATGTGTTACGGGTAATGATAAAAATAAATGATGTAAAGTGAGACCAAATCATTTTTTTAAAATTTAATCCGTTATGAAGTTAATAATGTTTCTAGTCCCATACAATCAGTCGGCATAGTATGTATTTGCAGTATTATAATAGTTTTAGTTGATATACAGTTTTTTACTAGCCATTAAACCGAGGAAAACCCCTAAAACCTTCGGAGTGGTAAATCTGGTATGTCATATGACAGTGGTATGGGAAAGTTGGATTTGTATAGACATAGAACTATCGATATCAATAATAGTCTGACAATATTATTATTATTAAGATTTTCTGAGATAAATTATTGCAATATAATTAGTATGTAAACTAACATTTGTAAGTTTAATTTATACAGAACACCTTAATCAATTTAACACAGTAATTAAGTACAGCATGACAAATCTATATTAAACCAAAAAGCTATTTTCAAGTTAAAATTTACTTTTAGGCACTTATTGTTTGGCTCTAAAGGAATTGATCTAAACCAAATCTCACAAAAATTGGAGACACTTAGTTCAAAGCGTACTTTTGAGCCCCTCCAGCCAATAGCTGATTCAGATATTGAAAGTTTTTTGAAGAATGAAAAAGAAAATGCTATATTATCCCTTATTGATGAAGTCAACAAAAATGTAAGTATTGATACTAAGTATGTTAAAGTTTACAGATTTGATTTAAAAATTTATGGACTATGGCTACATTCTAAATAAGAATAATTGGCCTTTTGTGATAAGAAAAAAGTCACTGTTGGTGTAAATTAAAAGAAAATTTATTAAGATACAATCAATACAATTATTAAGATACAATATATTGTTGAGTAATATTATATGTAAGATTTTTATTGATACTATAATGCAAATAAATTCAATTGGTTTTCATGACCACAATCTTTGAAAGTACTTTGGCAATGCAATGTTAAACAGTGAAGTCTGGTTGCTTTAGTTCTTACATTTATATGATGCTGAATTTTTGTTTTTTCTTCATTAAAGCTCATTTATTATTATTGTGTCCATTAAATTCCAGTTGACTACTAATTTCTTATTGAAAAATTAAGAGTACTTTACAAAAACAAACTACTGTTAAGAGAAATTTACACAAGTAATCAATTAATCAAAGTTAATAAATTGATTATTGAATATCCAATTCAAAATTATTTCAGTCCCTGCAAACAACAGAGGATCAAAAATGGGAACACATGCTCTCAGAATGGAATAAAGAAAAGATCAAACTCATGAATGCAATGATTGGTCCCTCACAAAACTGGCTAGACTTGAAACGCACTCCTGAACCTCCTAGTATTGCTGATGCTCCTAAAAAATTTGGACATTCAATGTTGGATAATGTTGAAGCAGCATATGCCAGACAGGTTCATCAGTATAATAAATATGTATTCCAAGGTGCTAAATCAAGAACAGCTTTGCATCAGAAATTTGCTCAGGTAGCTGAGGACTTCAATGACCCTGTAAGTAAACTGTTTAAATCAAGGAAGTGTACAAATATACTATATTTGCTGCTGTAAAATGGCCTAGTTGTTAGAATACACTGAATACAATGAAGACCTTGTGGTCAGATTTGTATATGTAAAATACCATACCAAAAAGTAACAATAAAGTAAATGACATTATTTTTCTTTTCAGAAAGTAAAGGAGATGTGGGATATAATAAATACAATGGCCAATATCCCAGCCCTGGTGAGAGATGAAGATCCACTGAAAGCAAGAGGCAATCCAGCAATACAACAGTGTCTTGTCGCACAAGGAAAGAAATACTTACAGAAAAGGTTAACTTTTATTTTTATGTACCATCTAAATATAATAATTTATCTCTATATCTCTCTCTGTATTTTTTTGTTTTTAAATTACGAACCGTACGTTTATATTAATATCTGATTACAATTTTCTGGGATTGTTTGTTACTTGTTAATTACTTGACTGTGGGAAAACATAGCATTGGATATGTTGTCTTTCAGGTGTTCTTATTTGTCAGCTCATATTTCGGATCAGTAAGAGAATATAAGTAGATTAGATGTTAGTCTGTATAGCAGGACTTGATAGCTCCTCCACAAAACCATCACCTTATACCTTATACTAGGGCATCCAAGCTTATTTATATCATTGCACTTGAGGCATTTCGGGTAACTCAAGTCGAGCAACTTTGTAGGTAGTTGGTTGAATTACTTGAACTAATATTTATGCTTTGTGGTGGACATCTTCTGTTTGACATTCTTAATGTCTAGCATTATTTTGTTGCCCCACAGTTATAATCGACTGGCTTAATAAATATTGGTGCTTGTTAGCAATACTTTTATATTATTGATAAGATTGAAAATGGTAGCATATGAGTAGCATGCTGTCTATAATATAATAAAAACAATGTCCTTTTGTTGTTAGCTCATAATTGAACACAAATGACTTTGGTTTTGGGATATGAGAAATATGCTCCTTAGACCTGTCACACTATTTAATATGGCTATACAAAGCTTAACAAATGTTTGATACATTTTTTTTATACAGGTACAAACTATACATGAATGATGTAGTACGTGCCAACCCTGCGGCTGCCCTCCGCGGCGGCGAACCTGGTACATACCCACTTGTTCGAGGATTTGTAGGGCTACGTCTTCAGGGACAGAATTCACAAGGTTTCACTGATGGAGTCATAGATGAACGCCCACTCTGGCCCATGGTTTACTATTGTTTAAGGAGCGGAGATCCAAATGCGGCATTACATTGTTTGAGAAAAGCTGGGTGAGTGCAATATGATTTGAACATTAATAATTTTAAAGCTTAAAATTATAATCTTCATATATATTTTCGGATATTTTAAAAGATTTCAGATATTTAAAAATTTCATATATTTTATTATATTTTAAAATTTAAACACACTTCACATAGTTTATTAAACGGTTTTATTTAGCTCGACCTGTACGGAATTTGTTTTTTATTTATTTGGGTCAAAATTAGAAATTGAAATTTAAGCACCTTCCCGTTGTCAGATTGATCTGAAATTTGGTACACACATTTAATTTAGATGACAATACAATATAATAAAATCAATGACATTATAAATCTAAGATGGCCGCCGATACAAAATGGCGGATTACNTGTTATAGTGTGGGCTGCTTAGTTTACCTACCAAGCAAACCCTGGTGTTAGTGTTCTTTCATGAACTGCCTTTCGGCCGCTGACATGGTTCATGTTATGACAACCACTACCATCAGAGATATTAATGACCGAGATCACTTACGTAGGTTGATAGGTAAGTAACTATTTATTTATTTTGTAGTTTTCAGTGCACATAAAATAAAACCGTTTAACTTAAAAGTTTTTTACCGATTTTTATTTTTAGATATGTACACATGACTTCAGAATAACTGAAAGTAAATTGGTGTTTGCTGTGTAGTATCTGTCTATTCTCGAATCTGTAATCTGTTGTTAGACGATGAGCGCTATTACCCTTACTCAATTGACTATTAAAGCCATCAACATACTCATGTAAAACATACTGGTCAAGTAGACACTTGTTAAAGACGATCGTAAAAAAAAGTATTACAGTCACACTTTTTTTAAATGCTATAGGCGTGATCATGAAGAATTCATAGCTGCTTTAGAAGAGTATATCCGAAACCCTGAAAAACCACTAAGCGACAAACTGCAGACAGCCATAAATTTCCAATACAGAATACAAGTTCGGAATTCTACAGATCCTTATAAAAGAGCAGTGAGTATTTCATTGATTTCATGATTTTAAGCACACACATCATCATCGTTATAATTTGAATAACGAATTCTCTGATACTCAATGTCTCTGAATCATGTAGGTGTGGTTTTTTGTTCGTAATCTATTCGTTAATTGATTTATCTGAAATTTGGGTCATTTATTATTAGATGTTCGAGGAAGGCACACTAAACTGTAACTATCCATAAAAGTCAAAGTCAAAGTTTTTACTGGTTAAAATATAAATGGCAAACTTAACAAACATATTGTTACGCCGGTAAGAGTAACGCCACCTATCGCCAAATACGAATGTCGAAGGATCTAGCAGCATCTAGAACGCTCGAGAACTACAACGCCATCTATTGTCAGCTAGCGGGAACACACAATACTAGACTTTTGGGGAATATTCTCGGCGATTCTAGGGATTTCGTCTCGACTATAAAAGCGTTGCAGAAATGGCACGCAGTCAGTTAATAATCGGCACTACTCGAAACGAAACGGATCACCTAAAGCGAAGTGGAAGAAGCTAATTGAGAGCTTTAAAGTGTTTGTTGAGTGTTTTAAGCGTTCTAAGTTTTGAGTAAATACGATTTTTAGTTATACCTTGGTGGAATTTTATTTATGCCGAACCCCAGCGGCGTAATAATATTCACAATAATCTCAATTACTTAGGTGTACTGTGTGATTGGTTGCTGCGACGTGAGCGACGAGCACTACGAGGTGGCGCGTACGGCCGACGACTACCTCTGGTTGAAACTCTCGTTCATAAGGACGCGCAGTGCCAACGAAACGGAATCGTTCTCTTATTCAGACCTACAGAAACTTATTCTGGAGGAATATGGTTTGTAAAAATAGTACTAAAAATGTTTTAAATCAATCTATAATTGTATTTTTATTTGTACTAGAACGTATTTTAAGCCAGCATGAGTCGGTAAAACTGTCTTTTTTTTATTGCTTAGATGGGTGGATGATCTCACAGCCCACCCGGTGTTAAGTGGTTACTGGAGCCCATAGACATCCATAACGTAAATGCGCCACCCACCTTCAGATATAAGTTCTAAAGTCTCAGTATAGTTACATTGCTCATTGAGTTTTTCATTTTATCAAGTATAGTTACAACAGCTGCCCCACCCTTAAAACCGAAACGCATGACTGCTTCACGTCTATTTCTCTATTTGTCTAATTCTGCCATGAAGAAGTCATGTGTTCTGGTTTAAAAGGTGAGGATAGCTGGTGTATGGTATAAACCAACTGACACATCGATATCTTACCTTAAGCTGCTCTCAGACTATGCTATAATATAATAGCATATAGTATATAGCTCATAGCACACAATATCGCGCACCATACATAGTTATAGACACGTTCACACTGTACTGTACTATATATTATTGGCTTACTATATGCTGCTATAATATATGGCACTATAGTGTAGCGTAGTGTTAAAGCATCATTAAAGTGACTGGCGGCATTCATGTTGTGATGTCTGTGGGCAACTGCTTAGCCCCAGACTAAAATAAATATATAATTAGATGCATATATTAATAAGTTCAGTGAATTATAATTTTCACAACTGAAAAAACAAAATAAACTTTCTATAAAATTAATAGCAAATAAAAGTAAATTTCCCAATGACTTTTACAGGTGAAACGCATTATCATGCTTACGAAAAACCGGTCGTGTACTTTCAAGTGTTGGCTCTGACTGGACAGTTTGAGCCAGCTATCGAATTCCTCTCGAGAATACCAAGGTAATGAAACCTCATTTAAAATATTATTAAATAAGATATGATCTATATTATTCTAAGTATATTGCTGAACTAGATGAACACAAGCTAATAGCACTCATGGCATGTTTTATTACTTATATTTTTTTATTGCATAGATCGGTGGACGAACTCACAGCCCATCTGGGTGTTAAGTGGTTATCGGAGCCCATAGAAATCTTCAACGTAAATGCCGCCATCCATCTTGAGACATGAGTTCCAAGATCTCAGTATAGTCGCAACGGCTGCTTCACCCTTCAAACCGAAATACATTACTGCTTCACGGCACACATAGGAAGGCTGGTGGTACCTACCCGTGCGGTCTTACAAGAGGTACCCAGTAATTACGCAAATTATAATTTTGCGGGTTTTGATTTTTATTACACGACGTTATTCCTTCACTGTGTAAGTCAATCGTAAACATTTGTTAAGTACGTATTTCATTAAAAAAATTGGTACCTGCCTGCGGGATTCGAACATCGGTGCATCGCTACATACGAATGCACCGGACGTCTTATCCTTTAGACCACGACGACTTCAATGTGGAGATCGACACGAAATTCCTCTCCTTAGACCTTAGAACTTTAGTTGCTTTATAATTCTTCACTTCAGCTGTATCATTTTACAGATATCAAGTACACGGTGTTCATATGGCTCTTGCGTTACATGACGTTTACATGCTGGGCACACCGAGGAATGTTCAAGCTCCACTCCGTAAGTTCTAGTTGTACTTCATAACCAACTTCAAATGAAAACAAGTAGGATATTTCCAATTCCTTAATGTGATATGTATGCGTGATATGCTGTACTATGGTAAAATCACTGAAAATTATAAAGATTTATTATTTATTAGATTTTTTTTTATAAATTCATTTTAATACGATAATGCAAGTAATTCATATTATTATGATTGTTTATTGAAAACTGATAACTCATACCAAAAAATAACTTATTTAAAACAATATATTATTACTTAATATTGAAGCAATAATAATAGTGCTATCATAATATTGTATCTTTTTATTTTCCTTATTCCATTTCAAGCAGCGCTTGCGGCAGGAACATTGTATCTGTGTGTTAATTGACTTTTGAATGTTTCGCAAATCGTTAACAGTATATACGTGAAAATTTTCATATAATCATCTGCGTTGTAGGTATAAATCAGAGTATAATTTTTCAACTTCATCAAAAATTTTAATGAAAAAATGCTTCAATTTTATTATTATTTATTTAAATAAAAGTGTCTGTTAATAAATTAATAATATATCATAGAAATTACTTAGACTTAGAATATACAAAATAACACATGGTCAACTGCTAGGTTTTGATAAATGCGATATCCGTTAAATAACCAATCTCATTAATATTTCAGTGTCTGTGGACACAGAAGATCCACCACCGTTGCGTCGTTTGAACTTAGCGAGACTGTTACTGCTTTACGTTAGAAAATTTGAACTGACTGATCCCTCTGATGCTTTGCATTACTACTACTTCTTAAGGTAAGCTATAGATTTAGTGCTCTTTTAATAAGCAATAATTTTGCAATTGTTTTGTCACATAAAATTTTGAAAAATTATTCCCATACAATGAATACTAGGCATATGAAATGTACCCTAAAATGTTCGTTTTTTTCGAAACAGGAATCTAAAAGATCCGAGCGGTAAGAATTTATTCATGTGCTGCTGCACAGACTTGGCATTGGAGAGTAGAGATTACGAGCTCCTATTTGGTCGAATTGACGCTAATTCAAGTTTGAGAAGCCCTGGATTGGTGGATCAATTCAATAACCCTCATATTGACAGCAAGGTATTTTCTATAAATATTGTTTTTTTTTAAGCATGATTTTTTTTATTGCCCTTGTAGACAGACGATTATACGGGCCACCTGATGGTGAGTGGTTACCGTCGCCCATGGACTACAGCAATGCCAGGGGCAGAGCCAAGCCGCTGCCTACCGCTAGAATCGATGAACCCGTGTTCTTATTTGATCAGGAGCATTCACCATGACTCCTAGATATAGGCACCGCGAAGATGCTGCCTACCGATACGAACTACTGAAATAATTAAACACTCAAATCTAGTTTCTAAATGGACACTGAGGAAACAACAGTAGTGGAGCTGGTTCCAAATCCCGAGGACAGCTTTGCAAAATGACCTCTATAAACGAATTGTGGATGAATGCAAGTTTTTTATTGGTAGTTACAACAGAAGGGATATGATTCGAATATTATTATAACAAATACTTTTAATTAAAAATTTAAAAATGATTTCCTTCAGTTGTTTACCTGATGTGTAAAATTTTTGTGTTTCAGGTGATTGCGTTGAATGTTGCTGAGCAGCTCGTAAACAAGGGCTTATTTGAAGATGCTATTACCATGTACGATATTGCAGATGTAAGTGTAATAAATATAAAGATAAAATATTCTAATTTCGGTGTTAATCAATAAAGCAGTCTGCTTGAATAGGTAATCTTGAATAGGTAAAAAAATATCGTTTTATTGCAATTTTTTTTGGATTCTTGATCACTCGACACTAAGGACGACTACAATTTTCAGGATTCAGATATTTTTTTTGTGTGTTCGAGTCTGTTTCTGATTGATATACAATTGAATCCGATAGGTGGCGTTGCAGCTGGGTTCTATGCGATCAGACTTGTTTTTTTGAGCAGAACACGGCCGGACGGCTAGTCTGTGTCTATTTTCGTGTATTTGTCTACTGTGCGATTGCAAACCGTTCATCAGGTTGTAAGGAAGGAAGGATTCTGTCTACATAAAGTTTATTAAGCTGGCGTAATAATTGTTTTAATAAATCGATGTTTTACATAAACTTTGCGATAGTCACAGCGGAGTGTAAATATACGAGAATTTTATGTTCATCAACTATACTGATTATTCAATCAATCGACGGTTAGTAAGTACCACGTGCAAGCTCAAAATAAACACAAATGAAATCCTAAAATTATTTTTTATGTTTTCGTTTTCAGAATTTGGAAAAGGTCGTAGAGTTGTCCTGCGTATTGCTAGCGCAGGTGGTGAATAGCGGCGGCGGGGAAACCGGAGTGCGCGGTCGGCTCGCTAAACGATGTGAACTGACTGACGCGAGGCTACGGGCCTCCACCGAAACCTTACCGCCGTCATTGCTACACGCCTATACCAAGCTCTGCAAACTCTGCATCTTCTTCGATCAGTTCCACGCTGACAATTACGATGCGGCACTTGAGGTAATATATCTTCTTACTGCCTCGTCCGGTCATCGTTCACCTACTACCTACTAGTCACCTACTAGTTAAGGTCTAAGGTTACGCTGAAATAGCCTCTCAAGGCTCTCGGCTTAGGTAGGAAAAAAAAACTGCCTTGATGGCCAGTGAAGGTCATACCGTGAGTCAGCATAGACGAGGGGCCATGAGCCGTCAACTCATCCAGTGTAACATAATAAATATAAGTAGTTTTTTTTTAATGGATTGTAAGTTGATTGTTTTGCATCAGACACTAGGCGAGTGCGAGGTGGTGCCGCTGAACGCGTCGGAGCTGGAGGCGCGCGTGGCGGCGGCGCGGAGCGGGCGCGGGGAGCTGCTGCGCTGCCTGCCCGCCGTGCTGCGCGCGCTGTGCACCGTGCTGCTCGCGCACCGCCAGCGGCTGCGGGCCAACGAGCACTCGCACCCGCTCTCCCAACAGAACAATAAGGTTGTGATCTAACTCACTATTTGTACGAAGCGTGTGCCATGTTACTTCCGTTATTGAACCATCTATGGCTGTGGTCGTGGTCTAATCATTAAGACTTCCAGTATAAATAATTATTTGCACAGTTATCGAGTAGTATTACTTTCAAAGACCAATTATTGAATATTATATTGTCTCAAGTTAGTTGGCAGTGTTCACGTTGTTCTGTCTGGAACCACTTATCATAAGGTACGCTACAGACGACTTTTATATTAAGAAAAAACAACACCTCTTAAATATGATTTCCATTAAAATGTTTTTTTCTTTCTCAACAGCAATTGGAGTGGCTTCGTGAACAAGCTGAAGTCCTGAATACTTTTGCTGGCAACATCGCATACAGAATGCCTGGAGACACTTACAGTCAATTAGCGCAAATGCAGATACTTATGCACTGAAGTAGTCTAGATATAAATAATTAATAAAGAACTGTATTAAAATATTTTTACAACTATACAGCAGTTTTATTACAAAAAAAAATATGACAAATAAACAGTATTGTAGTAGATTTCATGGTTGAATTACTAAATCCATCGATAGGTACTATTAATCTACCTAAGTAAGTGCCGGTAAGTATTATTTTTGAACACAGACAAAGAGAACTCGATTGGACAGACAGGACAAGGTAACGCGTTTCGCAAATATCTCTAATTCTCTGCTGCCACTTCACTCCGCACCCAAGGTCATCGACTGCTTCTAATCCGCGAATCGCCTCTACGGTTCGCAGCTCAGGCGAAGGATTGACCAATCGCTTGAACTATGCCTCCAGTGCGGACTGCTGAGAGTTTGCATTTCAAGGATGCCCAACGCTCTGCTCACGGAGATCAGCTCGCCACTGGTTTATCAGTAGCGTCTACCTCGAAAATCCAAGATGCCGTTCTCGCTAATACACATGCTGCTTCGAAGGAAGTACCTTGGTTGTGTTTCTGGCATTGCTGACATCCATGATCGACTATGACAATTTACCATTAGATGGGCACTATGCTCTTCTACCTAGAATAGCAATAAAAAAGGACAATTAACAACAGTGTACACGATTGTAAATGCTTGTTGTCGTGGTATCTTTTTGACTCGAAAAGAAGAGTATAATAGCACACGGCCGAGCTGATAGTAAATGCAACACAGTCGAGCCTCTACTCTACCAATTGTTCTAAAATCATGTTCCTGCTTAAATTAGTCATCGTGGTCTTAATCTTAATTAAAGTATCTTGCGATGCATCGGTGTACGAATCCTTCAGGTGAGTACAAATTTTTCTAATCAAAATACTCGTACGTACTTAACAAATGTTCAGGATTAACTTTCACGGTGAAGGAAGAACATCGTCTAATACAAAATTGATAAAATTCATCAAATTAATTAACTCTATTTCATTTCACTCATATCATTTCATTATCATGTATTCATTATTCATATCATAATATTAAAAAAAAGAATATATAGAAGACTAGGCTGTACGGTGTGAAACCTTAGCCTAGCCATTTGGAAAAATGGAACTATTAATATCGTCTGTATAATCTATGGTAAATAGATCCCCTTGCCTTTCCTATTATGGAAAAATTGTACCAAAAAAAAATCTATGATACAATCTTAGGAAGCATAATACAAACGATATTTAGAAATATCTAATTATTTACAAGACACAAAACAATGGAACAGAATAATTTTAGTCATAGTATAGCGGCTGTTCTTTTCCCTGGACTTGTTAAAAACGAAGACAAAGCTATTGAATGTTTGGGTGGTATAAGACAATTGTCTCAGGTTTGTTTAAATCATGTATTCATCATTTAAATATTATTATGTAAAATTGAATTTAAAGTAAATTTGATAATTGACATGTTATCTGTTAAATATTACAGGCTTACACAGAGTTAAACAAAAAACGTCTTGGTCTATCATATCAGCCACAAAATAAACTAGCAAAGAAAATTTATGGCGACTGCGTCAATACTGCTGGTGTGCTCCTGAAAGTTAAAGTAAAAAAAACCATAAATGGCAGTGAAGTGAAAAGGGAGGTAATTTCGACCACCCCACTAGGACAAGTCAGGAAAATATATAAATTTGAATGTTAGTTTGTGATTAGTACTTAATTATTGCGGTAATTGCAATTGGCATGATCCACCTAAAGTGGTTATTATTAGATCCCGTATATATCTAATTTCCTACTTGGTGTTCAGTGGTAACTGGAAACATCACACTGTTTTTTTTATCAACCTTCTGATATGAAGTCAGAGTTTCAATTATGTTTTTTAAGAGCATTTTCATTCTTAAAATGGGAGATAGTGGTTGCTTTTCAAAAAGAAATAGGTATGAAAGGCATTCTTGCAGTGGTTTAAATATGCCCAGATATTAGAAAATCCATTTTTAATGGGTTTTGTTTTAAATTCACACTTATTTCAATGTGGTAATTCTTCACAAACACATGTTCAGTTTCTATTTTTTATCTCGAAGAGTTCAATTCTAGTTTATGGTAGAGAGGGTCACCTCACCTGAATTATATTTCACAATGGCTCTACTAGTTTATTTAGAGTCAGTGAATACTGCAGCCGATTCTCTGTTATATTTCTGTGTATCCTTTTATGGCAGTCACAAGAAGAGATGAGGTGATGCCATTGTGGACTACCCAAATGCCAAAAGTTCGAAATTATCACAAATAGACCTTAACTAAGTATCCAATGAAAACTATAATAATTATGATTTTAGCTTTGTGTGATTTTCAATATTTGCCTGTGAGCAAAGAAGGTGCAGGCTCTGCTCCTCCGCAGTGTATATTAGAACAAATCATGCCTTCTGGAGTTGATACTCTACAATTTTTAACGTAAGGAAGTTTATAATTATTTTCTTTTATTCTCTAAGTTAAAAAGGTATCATATGACTATGTTCATAACCTCATTGCCGGATATTAGTAAAGTTGTAGTTCAGCATAAGCCATGAAGTCAAGAAACAAAGAAATTAAAAAAAATTGTCTCTATTATGTAATGCAGTCAGCACCAGATTATTTTTTGTTATACAATACAATATTTATAAAGATTCCTTTTAATAATACCTGTGAAAAATATAATCATGTATAAGCATAATATAATAAAATATAATCCTGTATAAAAGTAAACAAAAATAGTAGTTTATGTCAGGTTAGTTGCACTCAATAAAATATAGTATTTGAAGTTAAGTAAACTCCATATTTGTATCACTAGTACATTTCCAGTACCCCCCTGCTGTCTATTATAATGTAATGATTAGTTTTTTTTTTTTTATTTATTTTTTTATTGCTTAGATGGGTGGACGAGCTCACAGCTCACCTGGTGTTAAGTGGTTACTGGAACCCATAGACATCTACAATGTAAATGCGCCACAAACCTTGAGATATAAGTTCTAAGGTCTCAGTATAGTTACAACGGCTGTCCCACCCTTCAAACCGAAACGCATTACTGCTTCACGGCAGAAATAGGCGGGGCGGTGGTACCTACCCGTGCGGACTCACAAGAGGTCCTACCACCAGTAATTACGCAAATTATAATTTTGCGGGTTTGATTTTTATTACACGATGTTATTCCTTCACCGTGGAAGTCAATCGTGAACAATTGTTAAGTACGTATTTCATTAGAAAAATTGGTACCCGCCTGCGGGATTCGAACACCGTTGCATCGCTATACGAATGCACCGGACGTCTTATCCTCTAGGCCACGACGACTTAAAGTTATTATTATTTTAATAATCATATTTCATCAAATCAACATAATTAAATTATTCATCCATTTCAACCCTCAGGTTGGTAGGTGAACTAGATATATGATTTTGTTCAGTTTAAATGTTAATTTTATATTCATTAGGGAACCAGGACCACAGTTCATAATACCATCAAGTTTCTCGAGATTTGACAAACCTTTAAATCTCGATTATATTGAGAAGAAGAGCATTCTAGAAAAGAACACATCACTTGGTCAAGATGATGATATACACAGAAAAAGAAGACTGGAGCGAGGTGGACAACCAACAGGATTGAAATTCAGCTTAACTGAAGAATTTCCTAAAGAACCACATGAGTACCATTTAAATCAAAAGAGTGAGAGGATGTCTGTTTACCCAGAACTTCAGAGAGATTATGAAGCTGTAAAGAAGGTAAGAGCATATATTAAGGATAATAAAAAAAAACATTTTACATAATCTGTTATAATTTTTTATTTTATTTTTTTATTATTACTATTCCACCTAATTTTTATTTAATTACTTGGAAATGATTTGTTTTAAGTTTAGATATGCGTGAATCCCTCTGTTTGAGGGTAAAGGCCTCCCTCTAAAGATACCCAATAGTCTCTATCTGTGGCCTTTTTCATCCACAGTTTACAGCTGTCTCTTTGATGTCGCCAATCTATTTGCTTCTAGGTCTTCCTCTTTTTCTATTTCCTCGAGGGCCTGGCTATGACGTCAGCCGAGAGGTCCATCTATCGTTACTCATTCGTGCCACGTGGCCTGCATTAAGAATAATTAATACTTGTTCGCAATTAGACCTAAGTTTGAATGAAATATTTTTAATTACAGATATTTGAAGAAAGGCCGATTTGTTCACAAAATTACATTAAATACCACACTAAAATAAAATTAGTGTTATTAAAAATAATAATGCCATGTTTGGCATTTTATATGATAGATGGTCCATGGAGAACTATGTATATTAAATTTGGATATGACCCTAGAAAGGATCCAAGCTCTCGTAGATACCAAACTTTGGATTTCAGAGTGAGACACCAAGGCAAGGAAAATTATATTGTTTTTAGAATATTACAATTGTGGTTAAAAGTAATTACATTAATAAATTTATTATGGCACTAACATTTAAATCATTCATGAATAAACTTGATGAACAAATATTTTGTGGTTTGAAATACATGCATCAGCTTACACCACTAGTGTGTTTCATACAAAATTATATTAATAACAATACCATTAATATGTATTTATAAATAAATTAAGATTCATTAGTAAGTATTAATAATAGCAAAGCTTTGGTGTAGGATAATAGAATGATATGAATGTTACACATTTATCAATTTAGATTTTTTTTTTTTTCTAACAGCTTTTTTGATTTACCAAAAACTTTTCACAGTTAATATTTAATTTACATTACTGTTATATTTCAGCTGGTTTGAGGTCTATGGTAGTACATTATAAAAAGTCCGAAAGGATACGTAACAAGAGGCGCAAGCAGCCGGATGAGTCCTTTGGAACTGAAGAGAATGTCCCCGAGGCTGTCATATATTTTAGACCTGACACTATGATTTCACAACGACAAGTTTACTATCAGGTAAGGACATTAGTACTTTAAATAATAAATTTTGTAATCGTTTTTTTAATTTCTGCTAAAATATTGCTACTTGATTGTGTGTAACTTCATTGGGAGCCAAATTAAAGTTCTAGCTAGCAATGACCTAGTCAAGATTTCATACTGATATATTTACAACAAGTAGACGTGTGTATATATATGTATAGACAGCATACATTGCTGGTTCGTTGACGTCACTTGAATGGATTTTTCGATTATAATCAGTGATTTAAAATATAAATCATTAATATTTCACGATAATAGAGATGATTGTATTGTTTTTATTTAATTTACATTGTTCGAAAGTGCAGTTGCGTTTATTGTGAGAAAAACAGGCTTATTGACTATAGTTAATAATTATTCTTTGGTAATGTAAGAAAAATTCTGATATAGGTACTACATATATTGAATTGCTGCCTTAACGGTCCCTCGTAATTTAAAAAGATAAATATTTTACAATAATTTAATTTTTGAGGAAATAGTCATAACTACATTATGCGGTAGGCAGCGGCTTGGCTCTACCCTTGGCATTGCTGAAGTCCATGGGCGACGGTAACCACTCACCATCAGGTGGGCCGTGTGCTCGTTTGCCTACAAGGGCAATAAAAAAAAACCCCTAAATTTTAGAAATTCAATACAGAATTAAATCATTGAATAATCCGCTTGGCATAATAAGCCGTTTGTTGCACTCGTATCGATCGATGTGATTATGCCGGTGTTCAAACACGGCGGACAGCCACCATCACAACCGCGTACTAATATTGTATAATTTATCAGATTTTATGGAACTTTATGAGGTACTTTTGAATTAAATAGATATGCGATGTACAGCTGCCCGAAGTTCAGGAGATATTAGCTTTGGAGCCTCCAGTTGGATTCGTGTGCCACGAAAAACGTGGCTGGCTTCCTCCGAACACGACCGATGTCTGTCGCGATCACATGTCACGTTATACCAAAGAAGCCCTGCTCTCTAACTTTACTGCTGACATGAAGCTAGAGGTATGTCGTGGACTTTAATATTTGATATTCGAATTAATAGGACTTAAACAGAAATTTCTCTCTTTTTTTCTCTCTCCTCTCTCTCTTTATCTCTCTCCTCTCTATCTCCCCTCTCCTCTCTCTCTCTCTCATCTCTCCTCTCGCTCTCTCTCACTCTTTCTCTCTCTCCTTCTTTCGCTCTCTTTTTCTTTCTCTTTTATTATCTCGTTGTCTCTCTCTTTCTTTCTCTCTACTTTGTAACAAATTACGACTTATATTGCATGCGGCGCAGGACACATTAAAAAGTATTGTTTTAATTGCGTTATGCGTAATTTCGTGTCAAGGTCACTAGTACTACCGTCTTTTGCGTATTGTATTGGCTTAACCATGGCCATCATTGGCATTGTACCACTCGATATCCATACGGTATTCATTGCTTCCACCATTTACACTTCCTACTTTTCCTGAGTTTCCCTTTCTATCCCCAACTGTAAAATCGTTCCTTGTAGGCTACAACAAGTCTTCAGACGAAGCGAGACTAAAGCAAAGTATTTTGAGCAGCAACACGACTTGAGTTGTTAGGTCTCCTTCAGATGCGCTCGGGCAGTTGTTAGCAAATCCCACCCCTCCTGGCTGAGCCTTTACTCGCCCACCTGTCCTGGTGAAACTGGAAAGGCCTCCGGGCCACCAGTCATCTTTCAATCATAAAAAAAAGTAACACGATGTTGACCTTGGCATTACCGATATCCATATGTGGCTTTCATGATAATAAATGAGATAGTCGGTAAACAAATAAAATAAATCTATATATTTTCACATTAGTACACTTCCTGTTTCTCGGAAAGCTATAAAACTTTAGAACGATTTCACGTTTCGAAGATAACGCCCAGTTTATGGTCTTGGTGTAATAAAGATCGTTTTAGTAAAGGTCTGGTGTAGTGGTAAGTGACATGGTCACTACATAAGGGGGTCGCGGGTTCGAATCCCGCCAAGGGAAGATATTTGTATGATAAATATAAATGTCTTTTCCAGGGTTATGGATGTATATTAAATATATGTATGTGTATAATAAAAATCTTACATTTATTTCCGTTATCTTGTACCTGTAACACAAGTTCTTTACGAACTTATCACGGGACCAGTTAACGTGGCGTGGTTGTTAGTAAATATTATTAAAAAAAATTAAAAAAAGGAAACAAAAGCCTTGGCTTGGTTTTTGCAAATATCAATTGTCTTGCTTGAACCAAAACACTCTTGTATTTTAGAAATAAATTTACCTGAATAGATAACTCATAATCATTGTCTACGTTCACATATTTTTGAAGTTATACTTCTCTAGGCGCGTTATGAAAAATTTATGAGATTGAAATTATACGATGCGCGCGCACCGTGACACTAAATAACAGAAATGAAGTTGCCCACTAAATCGCTCATTACAATACGACCGACGTAACTTGGCGAGTCTGAATTTAGCCGCAGGTGAACTTTCCGAACCGTACCGAGAATTACCGAATTTATACGATGTCAAGAAAAGGGATGTCCGATATGCGTGTTTGAGGATGTTGTTTAATCGATTTTTTTTTCAAATTGATTAAAATTTAAATAAAAAATAAATAAATAAATTTAATAAAAATAAAGTAAAATATTAACTTCTTACGCGTGTACATAAGTATACGCATCCTTTTTTTTCTTAAAGTAAGATTAATTTGTTTTGTTTTTTTGCAGCACGCTTTAAGTGACGACGACTCCAACACAGATGAAGATATGAATTTAGGCGATACAAATGAAATGGTTCACTAAAATAATAATGAAATAAAAACAAATCGTTTTTTATTTTGTCTGTTTATCCATTAATGAGGTTTTTCGTAATATTTTCGTAATATTTAATTCGTAAGTTTTATTAACAAAACATTATTAGTCTTGTCTCCAAGGGGTTACCTGTAGATCGTGACCACAGAATATTTTTTGCGATGCTGTCTGTCACTCTTTTTGGAAATCAGATCTCTTATATCTGTTACACAGCCAAGCTTTCCCCCAAGTTTTCGCTAGATTACAACAAATTAAGATTTGTGAATCAATATGAGTATATTTAAAGCAAAAGCTGTATATTTGAGACTATCGCCTGACCTTTGATCTAAACGTAGACGTGACAAAATTATAGAAACGTAATTGCGGTACCTGATCAGAACATTAATTCCGCTTAGTGGTAGCTATTGAATTGACGTTGTTCAAGATAAAATTGCTTTAAACATATAGATAGACACATTACTCTATTCCACTCTAAAACCACGAATCATAATCATGAGCAGTAAACTTTAAAATTAACAACTAAAGTGCCGGTTCTATCGCTTAGAGCGATATCACAAAATCAAAATGGTTGTAAGGAAAATAGGGCTCACCGAAACCTTTATTAAAAAAAATAGAAAATTCCAAATTCAGACAACAGAAATGTCATCTAACCGCCCTTGCTTTTTTAGTCAAGAAGATTTGACAAAGTCTGGATGTAATTGTATAGCGGTATTTATCATAGAAACCAACAAAAATCTATTTCGCGAATCTTTTTTTTTATTGCTTGGACGAGCTCGCAGCCCACCTGGAGCTAAGTGGTTACTGGAGCCCATGGACATCTACAACGTAAATGCGCCACACACCTTGAGATATAAGTTCTAAGATCTTAGTATAGTTACAACGGCTGCCCCACCCTTCAAACCGAAACGCATTACTGCTTCACGGCAGAAATAGGCAGGACAGTGGTACCTACCCGCGCGGACTCACAAGAGGTCCGTAATTACGCAAATTATAATTTTGCGGGTTTCACTTTTATTACACGACGTTATTCCTTCACCGTGGAAGTCAATCGTGCACATTTGTTGAGTACGTAATTCATTAGAAAAATTGGTACCCGCCTGGGATTCGAACACAGGTGCATCGCTCAACACGAATGCACCGGACGTCTTATCTCTTAGGCCACGACGACTGCAGAATAACAATTAGGTTTTTCGAGGAAGCGAGAAAGGGAAGATGTTTCACTGAGCGGATGATATCGGTAGACTCAGGCTGGGTTTACACGAATTGTCCTGCACGTTTTCTTTGTATTCGTTATTTTAACATACAATTATCCGGGTGTTCATAAGGTAGATTTTCATTCGTGTAAAAATCGCCGCAGTCTTCACACAGTTGTCAAACTATCTCGTTCACACAGTCTCGTGACAACGAGACAGAGCTATACTATACGCCACTACAAGCCGAATACGCTGAAAGTTCATTCGATAAAATTTACTTGACAAGTCCGTTGAGTATTCGTTTAAACACTTTAAACGCATAAGCGGTGTACGATTTTTTGCAGTACAAACGACATGTGAATGGTTCTATGTACTATGTACAATGTATGTGCCACTATTCATTCGTTAAGGCGTATACCTACTGGAAATAAACGTGCAGGACAAAACCCTGTGAACCCAGCCTTAGACGTTCGTTCGGAGTTTGTATACCTATATTGTTGTTATCGCTCTTCAGGCATTGCTAAATATCTTGTGTACTTACTACAAGTTACTGAGTAGGTCATAATAGATCCAGATCCCATAGACATCAATAACTAAATGCCGCTACCCAACTTGAGACATATCAAAGTCGAATAACTAAGTCGGGTATAACGGAAGTCCCATACTTCAAATCGAAACGCACGACCGCTGCGTGTCAAAAATAGGCAGGATGGGTGGTACGCTTACAGCACGTTCAAATTTTCCAAACATTAGAAAAAAAAAACGAGTTTTCTTTTTATTACACGACGTCATTCCTTCAATGCGATAGTCGTCCTAACACGTGTTAAGTAAACTACGTTTTTACAAAGGTTTGGTGTATTTGTGAACAAAACAAAGAAACGGTCACATGCAAACCGTGACTGAAAAATCTTTGCATTAGCATACACACATAAAACCTATCAATTCGCTCTGAGTCCGTGGATCTGACTCATTGCCTATTTTGCATGACACGTTGTTTATAATGTTAGATCGAGGAATTTGTCCCTTAGACTTTGATCTTATATAAGCATATTATTATCATATGGCTGTCATGCATTAATCAATGTTTAAATCATTCTTATAAGTCATCTAGGTAGGCGCGTAAAAATTGCATTAGTATTGCGTGAAAATTGCCTACGAATAATATTTTTTATAATTTATCTTGATTTATCAAAGTGTATTTTCCAAATATAGGATCAAATTGCTGTCAAACAAATTCGGGAAAGTATGTAGTTACGTAGATTCAAAGTGGCATAAATGTTCCCGCTTAGAATTGTAGTAACAAAATTTTATTTTATGATTTTAAGTTAACACTATTTAACAAAAATATCTCAAAGTAAATTTCGTCGGAAGTTTATTTCATTAAAACGTATCTAAATGGTACAAATATTAAATATTATTGTCTATCATCTTCTATTGTGCAGACTCGCATTCTCAGTTTCTTCGTATATGTTAGGGGCGATATGAAACTATGGAACGTCTTGTAGTAAGCTGCAGATAAGTAATAGGTACATTAGATGGATCAATGAAGACTGCTCTGGGTGGTTCATTCTACAAGTGTACCAGGAAGGCCACGATGATACGGTGACCGATGAATGGATTCCATATCTGATTGTTGGTAGTATAGTGAACTAAGATTAAGAAATTAAAACTGAAAGTACAATGCTAACTAACTCTAGTACTACTCCGAAGTCAGAGACCATGTGTGTGAGTGATAAAATGGATAGAAACAGTAATAAACTGATCTAATAACATTTTAATGCCATGCTAATCTAATTCTAATTTTTTTTTAATTTTTTTATTGCTTAGATTTGTGGACGAGCTCACAGCCCACCTGGTGTTAAGTGGTTACTGGAGCCCATAGACATCTACAACGTAAATGCGCCACACACCTTGAGATATAGTTCTAAGGTCTCAGTATAGTCACAACGGCTGCCCCACCCTTCAAACCGAAACGCATTACTGCTTCACGGCAGAAATAGGCGGGGCGGTGGTACCTACCCGTGCGGACTCACAAGAGGTCCTACCACCAGTAATAAAATGTCTAATCTAATGTTGCTGTAGTGATCTTTGGATTTTAATGCTCCTTATCAGCTTATTATTATTAATTTCATCCCTTAGTTCATCAAGTTGTGAGATTCGAGGGCACAAAGCGCAACGCGTGTTATCGGCAGCGTATATATTGCGCATTGGAATGCGCGCGCGCACACTCGCTTCCTTCGCGTCGTACGATCCGTCCTCATTACAATTTTGACTGGTGCGAGAGTTGACTAGCGAGGTTAGTAGTTTTTCGCTATTTTCATGTTTTCAGTGAATTTTAATTTAGTGAAATACGATGTTCCTTTGTGAAACATTAGTGTTGTGTACATTAATTGTATCTATTTTTTAAATTATAACAGTGATTTGTTTACTTCTCATTGTATTTTAAGTAAAAAAACAGTTTTCAATCATGAAGTATAATTAATGGTTTCAGTAACATTTTGCTGATTTAGTATTTTCGTCTGAAAATATTAAAACAGTATTTAATATAATACAATCTTTTTCATTGTTGTTTGACTTTAACAAATCGGAAATTAAAAAATATCCAGCAAAGTTACATCTTGTAGAAACATTTTTTTTTTCAATATTTATCTGTTTAATATAGCTGCCGACTTTATATTTTTAACAAAAACAAATCCGATAGAAAATCTTTAAATAAAACTGTACCTATTTGAAATTGAATGGTACCTACCTATATAAAGTCTATAAGATCATTAAACCAACTTGTTCTAAAGTTACCTACGTCATAGCCGTTATCGGACTTATGCATTATGGTGAAAAAATATTCTTGTCATTATCTAAAGACGATTAATCTAGATTAATACTAATACAAAATCCGATAAGGTTATTTGCATAGTGACTGTTAGCATTAAGCTAAGTTTTCTAAGTGTAGGTTACCTCAAACTTCGGGGACCACAAAACCAACTTCATAGCGAAAAAAATACTATACATTTTATTACTGATCATATTTGGTTAAGTAATTTCAATAAGGGAATAGTCAATTTACAAATAAATATTAAGTCTTAACTATTTGCAATTTTCCGACAGCTAAAAGAAAAAATAAAATACCTAATATTTTTCTTTTTATTCACGTTTCTTAGTAGATACGTTTAAAAAATAAACATACTTGCTGCTACTGAAAAACAAAACATGACACATTGATAGATTATCAACAGATAACTGGATCCGTTTCAATTAATCGTATTCGCAATTCGCGTGGCGCCTTACAAGTGGAAATTCTGCAATCTCGAGATTGATGTATTTTTATGCATCTTTGTTTAAGCACGTGCGCCGTTTGAACGCGTACAGAATTTACAATTACTTCTTAAAGCCTTGTTGAGACCGTCGAATCATAAAGAAATCTTTAATATTCATTTGCATAAGGGACATTAATAATTTAATATGACACTGGTATCATTCGAATAGCCCTGTGTTTACACAAATCGTATCTCTCATGAACACGTATTTCGTTGTCACTAGCTAGTTTAAGGGTTCTCCTTAAAATCATCATTTTAACAGAATTATTTAACATAGTGAAAATTTATTAGAAGATATCTTAATTAGCTCGTAACATACCTCTAACCCCGCGTATTCTGAGATGTTTACGGCCTTTGATCACGGAGTGACAGTTAATTGTTGAAATTTATAGAACTATTTTATTGTTATCAGGTAGCTTGAAATTACAATGAGTTCAAGCGAGTTCAGATTAGAGCGCAGCGTGGAGCTCTCGCCAGACACCAAAGAGTTGGCGGAAAAGGAGTTGAGAGAGACCCCGGAAAGAGTACGCGAAGCCTTGGAAAGGCTAAAGGAACTTCTTAAGGAAAACAAAGATTTGTATTTTCCAGACGACGATGAGATACTCACGATTTTCCTGAGACCATGCAAATGGTATCCGGAGAGCGCTCTTGCATTGGTAAGTAGGTTGTATTTACAAACATATAAAGATTTATGTTTTTTTTTCAAAACTTCGTCAATATAAAAGACTGATTCAAAAATTTAATATATCAAATGACAAAGAAATAATTTGTCGGTGTTTTTTTTTTTCTTCTAATTAATCATCAGTACCCACTGGTGAATTTTGTAACGTTACATTGCTCCGGTTACGTGAATTTTGACCATGTTGCTCTCGCATCATTGCCACAATGCTTTCATTTTGTAATACGGATAAAATTTGTATTACATGTGCACATTTCGTCATTTATTACAGTAGTACGGCTAGTGACCTGCTTAAAAAAATATTTTTATTTCATTATTGTTACTGTATCGATTGTGATTCAATTTAAGTACGCGTTTATTCACGTAAAGAAAATATGTATCACATTTTTTTTTAAACACATAACATTAATGAGCGTTAAGAACAACAAATCAAACAATGTTAATCGTCAATTTGAACGCGGAACGTTAGTAATGTTACAGCCTAATAAATTTTCGTAACATTTAACAACATACTACAGTCATAATGTTTTGGCAACAGTACTAATAACACCCCAGTTATTAGCGTCGGTTTAGGAATGATTTCGTTGCATTTGTCCTAGACCCCGACGTTCTCATGTCTACTAAAATCAAGGCCCGTCATTATGTGTATGTTTAATAAGGGATTGTATAATTTTGATGTAGAAACAATAAATGATTTTGTATTTCGGTTGAAATTAATTTATCGAAATTAGTACGCTGTACAGTTAATTACTTTTTTAGGTTGTTTCTGAAGATTTTGCAGAGACAAATAGTAGACTCAAACCGAAAAGTCAATATGTCGAACTTATTAATGCTTTTACTTCTTTTTTACTCAATTTTTTTTTTATTCAAAATATACGGTTGGTTTTACGTCAATTTGTCTACACATTTAGATGTCTCATCCATCTCATTAATACACAAAAAAAGTCTAAACAAGCTTAACACAAATAACCCATGCAATGATACTTAAAAAGGTCTGAATTAAAAAAAAAACTGACGAAACTAAATTATAGCTTATAATATCGTAAGTCGTTATGCACTTATCCGCACGTCATAGTACAGGTATATCATAATTATCATTAAAGTTTATCTAAAAAGATCTCGCGGACGATCTCCAATACGATGAACCGACCTCATAAAATCTGTGACTCACTCCAATATAAATGATTGCTCTCACTCTGCGAAACATCGTATGACATGGCGTCGCATCTGCTATCGCAGGATTCGACTGATGCATGACCACGACCACTCTGTCAAGAGTGTACGACTAGGAAGAAGAAAAAGATCCAATTCTTCTAATCTCCGTCTAATCCAATTTATAATTTTAGGGATTAACCTACTTAATGTAGCTTTAAGAGGCACAGCGGTAGTATTTTACTGTTCACTTCCACACAACGAGGGTTTTAGTCTGTCGGTAGTTTAACGTAATTCAAAGCTATTCGTAACTTTCGTGCTTTCCGTTTATGTACGTACGATTTTATTGAATCTGATTGACACTTTCCTAGTTGACACTATCCATAAATGTTTTTGTTATCAGTCGACAAAAGCTTTTTGTTACATAGATAAAAACTTAAAATAATATGTGGTTACAAAGAATACACTTTGATGGGTTTCAATGTGCACACATGTATCCTATGTCCATATATGCCGCGTCCTTTTCCGGAAGAGCGAGATAAAAAAGCCAATGTCAAAGTGCAAATTTTATCGAGCTTTGATAACAACGTGCCTTATCTTTGTCCCCGTCAAAGCTACAAAAACAATAAAATAGATCTTTTAAAACTTTTATTTAAATGAATTTTATTGAACTGTAACTATTACAATAGGCGAGCCGTAAGATCCTTCACCTTTAGATGAAAAAATAATACATATGTTCCAAGATGTTGTTACCGAAACTGAAAATATTCGTCATAAGCGATGTCATGACGGATGCTGATCCAGTAAATGTACACTTAAGTCTCTGGAACTGAAGTTTTATATAAAATAACTACATATTAACGCCAAGGATTCTTTCTCGCGTTCTTTTGCGTTACGTTCATCCTTAGATCTGTTTACATATGTAAATGTTGTGATTTATTTAAATGAACACGCAGCCTCCAATGTCATTGGTTTCTAAGACTAATCGTTTGCAGTAACACTAACGATTAAGTATTGAACCGGACATCGTAGGAATTCTTCTGGTACTAACGTTTTTTTTTAAATTGTAGAGACGCATCACTGCTTCTCGATAGGAATAGGCAAAGTCCATCAATGCAATACTACAACCGGCAACTAGGGATATCATTTCGGTTATTTTGTATGGTCTTGTTTTATCCCTCTGTAGTTCTTAATGCTGTCAGTCGTGCGTGATCACGACTTCATAAATAATATAATAACAATAAAAAATGCAAAATTAAATCGTAAAAGTACTTTTAATTATGTCTAGGACTAGCCAAAACTGAAGGGGATACTAAGGCTATCTTCCTTTTGATTTGGTAATTTTTTTTTTATCGGCGCTTATAGGTTGATGTGTTTACGCTCTGGCTGTTACTTAATGAATGAATGAATGAATGATTTATTTTATTTCAGACAACAACAAGTTCATATTTGTGTAGTACATAGTATCATTGAAACATACTTAAAATTAACAAAACCAATCAAATAAAAAAGATACATTTATTAAAAATAATTATCAGTTTACCGTAGCCTGTAGACATGGCGACGTGAATGCCACCATCCACCTTGATACACGAACTCAAAGCGTTAATCGTACTACTTTTCAAACGAGAATGAGAGAGAGAGAGAGAGAGAGAGAGAGAGAGAGAGAGAGAGAGAGAGAGAGAGATTGCATCACTGTTTCGCGGCAGGAAATAATCGGGAGGCAACTATTACTAACCAGAATTCGTATATCCTATTCATACGGATCACCGGTTTCTAGGCATTTTCACTTCTATACAAACGTGCTCGCGTAATAATAATATGTTGCTTTGAAAACTACCCGATTAATAGCGGAGAAGTGGAATGAACTTTCTAGAAGTATAGAAATTATAAACCAAAACAGATATCAATGCTTGTTTCGAGCCACATACATATTTAGAGATAACGAACATCATTTAAATGAGTCAATTATACGAGAGTTACTAGCAATTCTATTTTGTGGGTTTATTAGTTAAAATATTGTAGTGTCTAAATATGGTAATCTTTACTGGTGGTAGGACATGTTGTGAGTCCGCACGGGTAGGTACCATCAGTCTGCCTATTTCTGTCGTGAAGCAGTAATGCGTTTCGGTTTGAAGGGTGGGGCAGTCGTTGTAACTATACTGAGACCTTAGTTCTCATATCTCAAGGTGGGTGGCGGCATTTACGTTGTAGATGTCTATGGGCTCCGGTAACCAGTTAACACCAGGTGGGCCGTGAGCTCGTTCATCCATCTAAACAATACAAAAAAAAAAAGATGGTTGAACAAAATCATGGTCTACCTGACGTTATGTACTTACCGTAGCATATAGTTAATGTCAATGTCAATGCTACTATACACATGAGATATGTGGTCGATGTTTTAATGGAATATATTACGGATGATCGATCAATAATATATAATTTATGTTCTTAAAGACTCTCACAAAACAAAACGTTAAGTGGTCAAAGTAAATAAGTCAATTTGTAAATACTAGATTTACATAAACGCTGCTGCACTACATTGTGTTACAATTACGTTTTCTACTTAGTATTTATGTAAATTATGTTCGATTGAGGATACGTTAAAAGTAAAGATAAAATAATGTATTAAAGTAAGAGCTCTCAGGCTTCGTAAACACTAAAATTGCTCGTACAATTGCACGATAAATTGATTTCTATAAAATACTAGCCGCACTCGCCCGCTTCGCTGGGCATTTAAGATTAACATTATTATTTATTGTCATTATTATTAGGGAGTCTAACACTCATATAAGTAATAGCCTATCCGTTAAGTACATGTAATTTCTACATGGATACCAAGTTTCAAGTCAATTGGATGCATGGTTCAGTAGTTATAACGGAACATCCGTAAAAACCTCTGTAGATTTATATATTAGTATAGTTGTCATTATTATTAGGGAGTCCAACACTCATATAAATATTAGCCTATCCATTAAGTACATGTAATTTCTACATGGATACTAAGTTTCAAATCAATCGGAGGCATGGTTCAGTAGTTATAACGGAACATCCGTAAAAACCATTGTAGATTTATATATTTGTATAGATAGAGCATTGTAATAAAGGTATAGCGTTTAATTTCTTAGCGTCATGAAGTTGGCAAGCTCATTTGTGCGAAGAGAAAATACGGTTCAGTTCGTATTCCTTTGTCTCTGTATGATGTTAGTGGAACAAATATTCTTGTAGCATACGATCACTCTTTGCCGTTGCCGCTTCACTATGCTTGATCAAGGGACTTAAAATTACGAAAATTACTTATTTATTCCGCCGTTTTCGAGTACATATCGACGCTTGAAAGGCAAACGTGACTAAGCGACAATGCGTGAACTTTACAGTAGACCAATTTAAAGTTGAAATACCTGAAAAAAAATCTATTTGAACGAATCTAACTGTAGGATTGAAATGATTTTAATAGACCTAGAAATATATTTTTTTGCGCATCGAATATGGTTATTGCCTATCCGTTATGTACAAAGCAGTTATTGTCGCTTAGTCACGTTTGCCTTTCAAGCGTCGATATGTATAATAGTAAATTAGAAATGAATCTCATGAGTAAAACGAAAAAAAAAAAAGGTAATTGAATTTTTTGAAAGATCATCCAAGAAGTAATTACATATTTAATTGGCTTTATGCATACACATACGAGCTCAGGGACCATTTGATAATAAGTTTACAGGAGCTCAAAGATATCACAATAGCACATATCCTATGATTTTGAAACAATATTATAGATTTGTCAGAGCATTTCATAATCTAGGTAAAACAATAACAATGAGTTATTTC